TGATATGTCGCAAAATGGAAAAGTACGTGCTCTTTCATCTTGTCAAACCAACGGCATAATTGTCTTTTAATTTTGTAATTTGTTTTTTGCTGCTTCCACATTTATATTCACCCGGTGCCTGTGGACGAAATCCTCCATTTTCCGGGAGACGTTGAAGAACCGCGTTGAAAATTCTTTGACCTGATAAAATTTTTTTAGGAAAACCTCTTTGAAAGCACTAGCAAAAAAAGCGTCAACAATTTTCACGTGAAGCTTTCTATTGCTGAGCCATAATTATGTTGTACCTCGAAAGTAAAATTAGCCCGTCGCAAATGTTGCTTAACAGCTGAAGTAGAAGCCTCTTCAGTCGTAATTTAAGCGACAAGTTGCTTTGAAGCAGTAAGAAAAGTATCCAAATTTGTGAGTTTTACTCAAAACCTCTTTTTGCGTTTTTGCGTTTCTTCACCCTTCACTTGGTGGCCACTCAATTTTTTCGGACGCTCATATTTTCATTTAATTTAAAAACAGTAATCAACATATTTTATTTAAATCATACAGGTATCAATAGCAAGGTAAAAAGAAAATAGATCAATACGAGAATAATTGAATTTAAATTAAATATCCTCCTTGCCTGTTACACTTTCGTAAACCATTTTCCTGCCATCTTCTCTAGTATTTCTTCTATGATTTTCTCTCTTTATTTTAGTTCATCACACTCTTTCCTCATATGTTCTATTGTTTTTTGCTCATTCTACACATTCTCTATTCCTCACTTAAATTTCCTCAATATTTATTTTCTCTTCCTTCATTTCCGCATCTAAATCGGACCATGATTACTTGCTCTTTGTTTTTGGTTGGTACTGTGTTGCACCTAGAATTTCTTATCCCCTTCCCTCCTGCTTCTTTATACGAAAATCTCTTCTACAGAGCTCCTGCCACATTGGTTGTCCTTGACTTCTCACTCTTCCTACTTCCTTCCAGGTATAACCATTGCATTCGTAGTATTTTGCCATCATCTCCCGAAGTTCTTGCTCGCAGTTCTTCTTTTTCTCTTTCAAGCATTTTTGTAATATTTGACAGTGTGGCCTTTCATCTACTCGCTCTCTTTTCCGGCTGTCCTTCCGGCTTCTAGTGGTAATTTTTGCCTTTTCATGTCTTCCGTCACTATACAATACTCCGGGGTTTCTCTATCAAGACCTAGTATTTATTTCAAATATCTTTCTTGGATTGTCTCTACCTCTTCAAACTCTGTCCACCCCCAGATTTCTACTCCATACATTAGAATATTTTCAATCAAAGTATGAAACAGCATGATACGTCTCTTCCAAGTATCGCCAAATTTCTCTTCTGCAATTCCTCATACCATCCCCATGACCTTGCTAGCTCTTGTGCATACGCTCTTTACATCTGTGCTCATTGAGTTGGGTGAGTTAAGGTAGGATCTCAAATATCTAAATTCCTTCACTTCCTCTATTCTCTATGTCCCCATTTCTAAACCCTTTCTTTTTTTCTTCTACCTTTTTCTATAACATAATTATTTTTGTCTTATACATCCCTTCCTTCTCATATACCTGTCAAGATTTCTAATCATATCTTTCATTTTTTTTCCGTCTTAGGTTATCACCACAATTTCATCCGCATATGCAACACCCAAACCTTTTTCTTCCAATCACTAACCCTCCTATCTGTAGTTTGCTAAACATTTCTTCAAGATTTCTCATGTAAACAGCGCAAAGACTTATTAGACTTAGCGGATATCCTTGTCTTACCCCCTTTATCGTATTAAAATTTTTATTCTCTTCCCCATTCTCTTCTCAGTACCATCGCATACAATTCGTTTTCAGCAATGTTATTCCTCTATAGTTTTCACTCTTCTCCCTGTATCCTTTCATGTGTACGGGGCATATTATCAATTCACTCCATTGTTTCGGTATGCTTTCATCAATCTACACCTCGTTTTAATTTCGCGGATAACATTGTCAGGGTCTTTGGCCATGTTTCATTTGGAATTCCATCCTTTCCCGCTGCCGTGCCCTTTTTTAGTTTCACTAGTTGCCTTCTTACTTCTTCCTATGTCCACTTTGTTTAGCTCTACTTTGTAATTTTCTTCTTTTTCTTCTGTTTCATTAATTTATTGTCTTTTTTTCTATCTCTGCATCCCAATTTTTTTGCTTGTATTTTCTTTTTTCTTTCTATTTTTATTAATATAGTTCCATTATTCTTTCTATGATATAATTTCCTTTGTCTTTTGTGCTTCTTCCTTCATTGCCTGTTTTTGTTTTGTTCTTTGCATTTACTTGTATATGTTTCGCTGACTTTGAGGAACGCCTCTCTTGTTATGTTTTGATGTTCGTTTTCTTATTGCTTTCCTTGTTTCTCTTTTTAAGATGCAACATTCCTCATTCCACTAATCATTTTTCCTCTTCCACTTCTTCTTATCCTAAGTTCTACCTTAATTTCTGCATCTTTTATCAGTTGTTCTAATTAATCTCATTTTGCTTGGGTATTAGCTTCAACAAAAGTGTGCGTTCTTAGCTTCTCTTGATACACCCCACTAGATCTTTCACCCCATATTTTCCTACTTTCTCCGCTTCTTTTTCCTGTTTTCTATCATATTCTTCGGCTTCAACCTCCATTGGTATATGTTCCTTTTTCCTACTTTGAACTGCGAAATTTCCTTGCATGCATTTTCATTCTCAGTTCTACATAGGTTAATTCACCTTCAACATCGCCCGTTTTATTTCCATTCGAGATTTCCCATCCTCTCTCTGACACTAATTGCAATAGTTGCTTTCCGCTCTTATTTTTACTTTTATCTTTGTATGTTCTTTTTCTATCATTTTCTGTATTGCCTATTCTTCCTCATTTTTCTCCTATTCTTGCATTGAAATGTCCGTCTAGAATTACATAGTTGTCATCATTTATTTCTATTTTGCTTTTTTTTTTCATTGTTGTCATGTTCTTACTACATACCGTTTCAATACGCCATTTGTTCCCTTTTATTATGATGGTCCATACCATTAATCCTTCTTGTTCCCTATAGTTTGTCTTTAATTCTTTCTTTCTTGTTCTACCCCCATCTTTTCTTTTCTCATTCTGTCCTCTGACATATCCAATTAAATTCCCTTGACATCTTTCCCCAGCCTTTTATTGTTGTCCTACTATATCAAAATTCGCTACATACTGACACAAGTAACCTCCTTTATTCTTGAGTCGGGCGACTTTCCAAAAAAGGATTCTCGTTTTTTCCCCGTTCTGCTGTTCCTTTTCTCCACTCCTACACAAAAATGCAAAACAAAACTGCTCCGGAAACATGAATATGAACGTTGACACGTGTAAAAAACATTTTTGAAACATTTATGGATCCTGAACTGCCCGGAAAATGTAGTAAGCAGTTAAGAACAATATTTTTACGTATTTATTATTTGAAGCACTACACGAATACATGAATACCAAATTTAACGGACGGCTGGTTTATTCAGGTGATGGTCTTTTGCGTGTATTGATATTGATGTCAGAATTGACATCACTGCGGTATTGAAATTTTCCATCGTTCACAAGCAGAAATTTAAAAATTTAGTCGGAATACAATATCATGGAAAATGTTGAGTCATACTAAACAATCATCATTTTAATTAACTGTAGTAAAAATGGTCATTTGCTAAGTAGTAATTAAGTCTCCCTAGATTAATTTGTATCTACACCATGAGTGCTTGATGAACACAAAGATTACTGGTACTTTAAAAATTAATAGTTTTGAAGTTCCAAAAAGATGATCTGATAAGTATATGGTTACAAAAAAATAGTAAAATGTTTTTTTATTGTAATGGTAACATTTTTTTTAAACTGATATCACTAGAACTTAGCATTTATTCAAATCAGTGATGTCCTTGTGCGGTAACTTTGTTTTCATATACCTACTTTTTTTTTATTTTTTTTTTAGTTCCTCTGCTATTTGTATTTGATCACAATTCCTTCCTGCATTTTATTATACAACTTCATTAAGTAAATAAAATACAATCCATGCACGTTACACAATAATTGTTATCTCATATAATAACATATATATTTTGAAATAAGAATAATAAAATTACCACTAAGCAAACACGGTTTGTTTCTTCTCTTTTCATGATTATCAAACATATTTAGGACATACTAGCTTATAAAGTAGTTATTGAATGTCTATACTTAGATCGTATAGGTCAACGTTTTACCCCTTGAAAGTCCATATCTTTGTGAAATATGTTACAATTTACGTAGGAAGAAAGATAAATATTTAGAATTATCGATCTGATAAACAAGGGAGTAGTTCTAGGAAAGTCAATACACTGGAGAATGCAGGTTGTCAATAAAATAAACACCATTTATTGAACACAGATGGACATGTTACGTATAACAATGACCAACTTCGTGTTCGTAATTAAACAAAAACTTCCCCAGAAAAGAAAAATCTTGTTGACCAAAGTAGATACAACGAATGGCCGATTCTCATACATACCTAATCATCGCATTTCATAACTTTCAAGATGAGCTTAAAATTTGAAATGGTTTTTATCGATTTGCGTGCTTATGGAGCCGATCCCTATGCCCCACCTTTGACCTAATTTTCATTTAATTAGAGTTCCACAATGGATTGCTACATTAATGCAGTGTAGATATATCTAGTGCTTCTGCAACAGAATGTTTTTATTTCGAAAACAGCATTGAAGTTCCCAAAATTAGAGATGATGACACAAATCATAACTGTTGCAAAGTTGTCTGAAGATTCATATTATTTTTATGGCTGGGAATAACATTTTACTCAATCATTAGCCCTGAGTCTGAATCACCTTAAATAAAGTCATTGTTTACTCAAAGATGTACGTGAAACTGTAGGTAAACATTGTCACTCATTCATCCTTAATTAGTATAATTTGGATGATCTTCGTTTGTTTTGATAATATTAGACAGTATGTTTCACCTAATCTTATTTAAATAATTTGCTTGTTTGGGTTTATGTGTAACAACTAATAAAACAAGTATTGTAAGCACCTAATTTATTATATATTACATTAGTTGAGCAAATACAATTAAGTCACCTTTAGAAGTAATAGTGGTGCCAACAAGCTTATATAAAATAATGCGCTAGCACTACTCCTCCATCCAGAATTATTGCAGAAGTCTTCAGTACACGTCGTACAAGAAATCTTCTCTACTTGAGCCTTACTACACTCGTATGTATCTCCTTTGTCAAAACTGATGCACCTCTTTTCCGTTACTTGTGTTTTATTAGCATCTGAAATCTTCGGGTTGTTATTGTTACAAAAACAGAAAATTTAACACCTTTGTAGACGTAGGTTAAACAAGCTGCTTGTTTACTGCCGACATCCACTGCACAAGTTTCATTTTCCAAACTGTCACATTTAAAATCTTTGCATTTTTTACACACTAGAGCTCGACCTGAAAAACATATATGAAAGTTGGCGCCATAACCTATCGATTTTTATTTTCTGGCTAGACTTCCTGGTGTTATTTGAGGGTTGGAGTGTTTATCTATTTGTGTATCTTAGCAACGCCCTAATTGTAGATTTAGAGCATAAAATGCCCTGGAGAGACTTCCTCAGAATAATAAATTATACATATTTTGTCTCAGAGGGTGATGATAAAACATCGCTCCACAAACAGTGATTGATTGTTTTATATCTATTACATTGGGTTTATCATTTCGTTAAGATCCTTAAGTGACAAAAGCTAGTATTATATTACGACAACCAGATTTCCACTTTTTCTGTAGATTTTATTAACCGATTGCTACAATAATTTAATATACATATCTGCAACTACAAGAACAAACAAACAATTCTAACAAAGTCGTTCTGGTACTTTTACAGTTTTCAAAATATCTGTAATTTTATGGTAGATATTGTATTGTACGTTAGAACACCTGGGATTGGTAAATAATGACAGAGTATTGACACATTACCTACTTAACCCTGTAGCCGCCCGCATGCAAAGTAAATGTATGCTAGGGAGTGCTACATAATTCTTTGAAATGAACCATTTTAAGTTACAACATACATTTAACCGCCTCCATTCTCACTTAATTATTCTTCCAACGAAGTTAGTATTAATTTACATTAAAATTGAACATAAAAGAACGACAATTTGGTCGATAAGGATTGTTTACTGAACAAAAAAATAATAATTTAAAAAATTTTTGGGCCCATATTTCAACATTATTTCTCTTTTCAATATTTCAGCATATTTTAATTTACTAGGTACTTAGTGTGGGTACATGAAATCGCTCCGACTGTTATTATATTATACAGCTACTGTTGTGTACTTGTTTGGTTAATAAATAAAGAAAATGAGTAATTTGTTAATACGTCAGTCATTATACTTCAGGAGGTTCTGTGTTGTAACACAGACATGAAGTTTTTGAGTTGAATGATGAACTGAACCGTTTAGTACGCATTCACAGTATCATAATGAAACTTCTGTGCTGCTAATGACCTCATCATGCTAATGCAATCGTAGGAAAACCTGCGGAAATTCTTATTCAATACACTCCACTCCTACAAACACGGGCAGCGACAAAAAAGGTACACTGACGTGAAATTTATTTTGAATTTAAACGATATGTTTTTCGACATCAGCTGATATAGTAAAGACAAAATATGGAGCCACTGGAATTACGAATCTTATTTAACCTCAACTCTGGTAAATGTTATTTTCAACTTCTTGCGGACGGTCGTAGAGAGGCGTCCGACTTCCTCGAAAACGACTGACAGTTAAGAGACCTGAAATTCGATGACGTTAGAGCGTAGTTATTTGGTAACTGCTGCACCAACGGTACTGTCTGTGAAGTAGCAACAGGTTTTTTCTATAGTGCGGTGTCCTGAATTTGACATTTAAATTTGGTGCGGGAGAAAAAATAACGCAGCGAAACAGCATTTGAAAAATTAAAAATAAGAAAAATCATTAATGACGTAAGCATAGAGGAACGGCACCCTCGGCTTCGTAGTGTTAGGGTGATTGGAATGTAGAGCCCCAGATAATTTTAAAAGGGGTCCTTGAGAATTATCATCAGTTGAATTAATATCATCGTGGACTCAAAATGGGACATGTATTTTATGTTTATTTTGCACTTTTACTATATTAATGTTTCTTACATTCGAATTCAGCCGCATTTAATATGTGCCCAAATGTATTTTTTTCATATGTAATTACAACACGAACGTAGAAAGTTTCTAGAAGAAACAAGAATGCACAGTACGATCACGGAAAATACATACTAATGAAATTTTATAATATAATTAGGACTATTTGGTTGACAATGAGCTGACCCTTCGTATTTAGATCCTTGCAAACTTCAAAACCGTCTCATGTGCATATGGGTTTAGAGTTTTGTGGGTTCATACTATGCAAAATTACATAAAAATCTATTGAACACATATAACACAAAAATAAAAAAAAAAGATCAAAAAATGCACTAGAACTGGCCTCTAAATTTATTAATGACTCCAACAATACACAAAATATAAAAAGAGTCATTAGATTATTAAAAATGTGTCTACAACAAGACTTTTTTAACTTCAAAAAATAAATATAGAAAGCACAAGGTTTAAGAATGGCGTTCGTAGATACAAGAAAATTGTTAAAATTCTTCAGAAACGTGGCTTTTGAAGTGTTTTTTTGTAGTTTTAAGTCAATCAGAAACCACACGGGCTCGGAAAGAGCAACGAAACCATCAAATTTTAGCTAGAAACAGTATTTTTGTCGATTTTTATTAAATCTGAACTATATTTCAACATTTTTTGATGATTCTCAGCATCTGAGCGACGAAACACACTTAGAGCACTAGCTGAAATATACATGGACGGACTAGAAAATACTTACTTAAGATACTTAACCCAAAGTCACTTTACTAAGACAACATTATAATATGAAAGAAAAGCATACAGAAAAAAGACGATAACAACAATTAGACATGTTTCTAACGTGAATTAACGGCATAGAGAACACTCTGAATTTCTTAGACCTCACAATCTTGAAAAGAGGAAATCAGTTGAAATATAGAATATACAGAAAACCTGCAAATACGGACACCACGATCAACAAGAACTCCAACCAGCCACAGGAATACAAAGTGACGCCTTTTAGGCCCTTTTTAACAGAGTAGACAAGCTACCAATGAATATTGAAGGAAAGACAATAAAGTAGCAAAAAACGATTACACCAAAATGAGAACATTAATAACAAAAGGATCTTTTACGACAAAATAAGATTTGTAGGCAACATATTAGAGAAGATTAAACGAATTCAGACCAGAAACAAGCAAAGACCACAGAGAAATAAGCGAGGGTATACAAACTAATTTGTATAGAGTGTTCAAGGATTTACCTAAAAGAAACAGGAAGGAGCATGAAAACAAGAGTAAATGAACACATTAATAAATATTCCAAAATCCAACAACACTTAATTAAATTCTACAACAGTTAGACAAAGAACATACTAAGCTATATAGCAATCCTTGAAACTAATTACATTAACGACCACACAGAACTAATGTATAGACTCATCTTCGATAGATTACTAAATGTTGAGATATTTTCAAAATTTGACAGAAATCGAACAGGAAACACATACATCTTGGCATTGTCATGCGGTCACCCGTTCACCAAAAAAGTTTAAATTTTATGTGAGTAACCACCCCAGTGGAGGGAATTTGTTTACTGTAATAATAGTAAGAACAACTATAGGACAGGTAAGACAAGTGAAGATTTCATATTTTTTTATTTAAATGTTGTAAAGCCCGAAACTGGTAACGTAAAATGAAATAGTGCAGAGAAAAAGGATTTGTGATTAAACAGATCATTATAAAGCACATCCATAAGGGGGATAAGACAACTCATGTAAATTTTTGTTGTTCGAAATTATTGAGAGTGTGGAGTAATTATCTAACAAACGATTTTTAATGGTAAACTTAATGGGGAGATTCGTGTTTGTGTGAAACGTGCAGCTAGGGCCAATAGCGGGTTGTTTAAAGTCGATTTATAAAGTTATCGCTGACGTTGCTGTTCGCCTTTGACGTTGCCGTTGTAAGATAAATACGCAGCGAAGGTATGCGTCGTTTATATCATCCGTTAACGTTGCCGTTGAAAGTTGGTACGCCGTTGAGGTGACGTTCGAGGTGACCAACTTTCGCCGTTACGTTGCCGTTGACGTTGGGTTTGCAACCAATCAAATTGCGGTAGTGTGCAGTGCTGCCAGTTTGAAGGAAAATCCCCTGAAGTAGTGGGAGACATTTTTCTGGTTGACACCACTAATTCCACAAAAATCAAATTTTGATAGAGATAATGAGGTCCACTAATATTGAGCCAATTAATCACCTGTTCACCGAAACTCTCATATTTTAAATAACTGCAATCATTTTCTACACTGTAGCTTCCTGTGGGTACTTATGGATTGTTAAAGATTGTTCTCGAGGTTTAAATCAACAAGGATTTATTGGTATTCGTCTCAAAAAAAAATTAGGTATTATAACTACAAGGGCTTACATTTTGCCATTTCTTCTTAATATGTAGGTATAGCCTTCTTTTCACAACAAGAAAGGTAAAACACGTTTAAAATGGTAAATTTTTGTAGGAAAATATCGATTTTACAGTTAGGCTCTGCCCCTCGGTCTGGCAACGAATGAAAAATTAATCACGATTGGGATCGAGACGGACGGACGATTACTTAAAAACATATTTTACATGGTAATTTCTCGTAGAAAAATGAGGATTTTACAATTAAGCTCCGCCTCTCGGCTCGAATAAAAAAAAGATCATCAGAATTGAGATAGGGCGGGTGGGCGGGGCCTATATTTTGCCCTTGTCTTCTTAATATACATATTCATCTTTTCACAACAAGAAACTTAAACATGGTTAAAATGGTATATTTTTGCAAGGAAATATGCATTTGCAATTATGGGGCGGAGCCTAAGCCACCCCATCTCAGTTGTGATGACTTCTTTTATTATTAGAAACTTAAAACACATTTAAAATGGTAAAGTTTTGGTAGGTCTGCCAACGAATGAAAATTTCATTACTATTTAGATCAGGCAGGTATGGGTGGGGTTCTATCTTTGGCTTTATTTTTTTCTTAATATACATAGTATTCTTTGAACAAAACGATACTCAGAAACAAGTTTTTAATTTCTCGGAGAGAAATAAGGATTTTGCAGTTAGTCTGCGCCTTCTTGGCTCACGACGAATAAAAAAATCATCAGAATTGAGATAGGGCGGGTGGGCGGGGCTACATTCTGCCTTTTTTTATTAACATGTATAGACTTATTTCGACAACATGAAACTTAAAACATGTCTAAAATGGTAAATTTTTGTAGTAATCAACTTAAATCCTCCACTTTTCTTCTACAGTTCTTTTAAATACGGCAAAAGCTGAACATCAAAGTTACTATCAATGGCAACTTGGCAACGGAGTTTATAAATGACAATTTTCAGCTCTAAACGCAACGTAAGCGAGAACAGCAACTGCAACGTCACAGCAAATTTGTAAATCCACTTTACTGATTGCTCGACCATAATTTAAACTTGCCGATTTTCCGTCTTCAGAATGAAATAATAAACAATTTGCCCACCATACTTTGGATATTACGGAATTTTTCCAACCTTGGAATTCACCACTTTGCATTTGAACGCATTCCCTCAAACAATAAAAAAAATATATAGGTTTCCATTTCCTTGACGATTATAGTTCCATGCCAAATTTTGAATTTTCCGCGTGTCACGTTTCACGTTTATGATTTGTTTGGGTTATCATAATAGATACTTTATAATAAGGAAACAATTTTGCAGAATTGATTTGCTAATTACAATTGTATCTTTTCACTGTCTTATCCTTTTGATTTTGGTTTATTTAGCACTCTATTTTCTAAACTTTTGTAAGAATTTATAAATACATTTAAGCACCTTTAAATACAAACATTCTATTTAAGCACTAAACAAACTATTTTACGAGCACAAAATCAGTTGTATTGTTTATCAAAAAACGTTAGCTTGGGGTTCTAAACGGACAATCAAATGGCAACTTTTCATGTTAACTGTTGAGAATTAATAATGCGAATGTTTTTTTGCAAACTATTAACAGAAATTATTATTTTTGCCGATTCTTTAACAATACCACAATATTCAGTAAATATGACCAAAACTACAACAACCAACTCCGTTTTGTGAAGGTTAATCTCAGTTCGTATAATTAATTTGTGTTTGTTGTAAACCATTACATCACTCACATTTATCCATTTAATCCAAATCCACAAACCATTGAAAAATATCTCACTAGAAATTACGTATAAATTTTAGACTCCTAAAAATATTTCTTCAATTAGTCTTGCCGTTATTGTGATATTCATAACAAAAGCGTTTGTTTGGCTTAGTACCTCCTTACTACTTAATTCGCTTCCTTTTGATTTAACTTTTGGATTTTTTTATATGCTTAGGATCTAGGGCACAGGACCAAACACGAGAAAAATCACCAAACTTTCTCACACCTAATATATTTATGTAATTAAGAGTAAAATTTTTATTATACATATAAAACTTAATTTAAAAATGTAATTAAGTACTTGACTTGTTTATCCGATGTACTGTAGTATTTTCAACATTAAGTTGACCCGCTGTTGGTTTTTAGGTCTAATAAATCATGTTTGTACTCAACTACGTATATTGCTGAACAGACCCTAAGTCTCAGAAGCACGCCAAATGTACTATAATATACATGTATCTAAAGCACTTAATGTATACAACAAAAGCTGAAATACATGAATTAAATTTAATCTTTTTATAACATTTTATATTATCTTGATCTACAAAGCTATTAAAAACTTCAATCACATTAGTGGATATCATTATTAGATTTATAAAATCTGTATGAAGTTAAAAATAATGATGCGTGTGTATATCTTACACATGTAGAATGAATTTTTGTTAGTTACAGTTTTATTGGTCATGATTTTTCCCTACTCTGTTGCATTATGATCAAATGACTAAGTAAAATGACTTAATCACACGGAGTCGATATTTTAAAATATAGGTTCCATATTAATACAATCTTCGCATCAGATATTGAATTTTACTTGAAATTTCATTCATATCAACAATGTAAATCACGCACAGCACAAGACTTATTGGGTACCTTGAGTCACTCTTTTAATAAGGTAGGTATGGTGATTATGTCTCCCATATTTTCTTATTTCGTCATGCATAATGGTAAAATCGAGTACTAATAAGTAAGTGTTCCAAGTTTTACTTACGTTAATTAACTTAAATTTAACTTATAAACTTTTTTCTCCACAATGAACGCCAAACATAATTATCTTAAGCAAGATAAACTAGACTGTATACTTCACAAAAGTGTAGACTGTTTGTCTACATTATTTCTGAGAAAATTTAACATTTCGCTGTAAATTTTAGATTTTTCTAACGAAACTGGTTATACTACCTGGTAGGAATTTTACCGCAGTGATGACTAATGTGTTAAGTAACCACATATTTTGAATATATTGTACACAAACATAGCATTTTTTCTGTAGAATATCAAAGTTAAAAATTAGAGGTTTCACAAACATGTTCACGTAATTTCCAAATTTCGAAAAGTGTAACGATCTTGTGAAAAATATTCGAAATTTTGGAGATATATTGTCGATATATTTCAATGTTTCAAATTAAATCTTAATGTGGTGATAAATTTCAGCGTTGTAAAAACAGTTTCTTGATTAGCTTAGTCGGCTTGGCGCGCATTCTACCAAAACAATTAGAACACTATTTTCTGATTGGCCACTAATACCTACAATGCAACGGAAGGTGCTTCGATTTGTATTTGAACTATGATAACAAATTTACACTGAATTTTACAGTTGTAAGCCATGTGACTACCGATAACACTGGTTGTAAATGCTTGTAAAAAGAAAGCAAAATACCCACTCCTAGTGTGTATTATTTTAATTGTTTGATATTCTTAATTTATCCATCACAACTGCATGCTATAGCAAGGTGTTCAAAATACAACAGTTAACAAAATGTTTGCACCTAGGTACATTAGCACGGACATTAGTGTGCCCAGTGTCTTTAAAGAAATCTTGATCAAGTCATGGCCAATGTGACAGACAGACTAAAAACATAGCAGCAGAAACAGGTACAATGAACTTACACGCTTGGACAACGATCAGACTCAGTACAATGACAGCCAATTTCGCCATTCCATCAAATTACAGCGAATATTCTCGAAATAAACACAACTTGACCTACCTAAAACGGAATATCGAGCGAGTTACGTTTGAGTGAATCAAGGTCGCCATCTAGCGCCAATTACATCACTTATTCCAAAAGGCGTGGGAGCGTGTCTAACAAGGCTAACGTCGTCATAGACTTAATTTATTCTACTTAAGTTATTACATGTGTAATCATTACTTTACATTTAATTTAACAAAAACTTCGCGGCGACGAACGCCGTGACAACACCAATCATTGCCACCCTGGAGCTCGTAGAGGGCGCTGAATTGCAAAGGTCGCTCTTGCAGGTTGTGCAGTCTGAAGTTGGAGGGCAATTGGGCTCGGCGCCCTTTGCGACAATTTGGCATTTTCTTATTCCAATGTTGGGGGTTTTGCTGCCTATGAGTTGCAACTGTTAGAAAAGCTGTTTGGGGAAAGTTATTGGGAGTATACCTTTTGGAACTTCAGTTGTACAAACGGCCTCTTGAGAAGAGCCAATCGATAGCCCACAGGTTTTTTCTGTCGCTTTTGATACTTCACATGCCTCTGGGGCGCAAGTGTGGCACTTTATGGCATCACCTATATAAGCAACGAATTCAAATTAATTAGCGCTCTTACGATGTGTGATAATTAATTTGGTCATCTGATGTAATCGCACGTCTTAAGAGATGACGAAACCCTATATAAATGCACAGACAATCATATGCACATCAAAGTGGGTGTGTCACTTCATAAATCACCTATCCCCGTTCAAAAATACGAAAGAGCTTAAAATTTATAGTTTAACAACCATAAAGCTATTAAAAAATAAACTAATGGGTTTTAGTACTCACTCTCATGAAGTGTCAAAGCGATGGTAATTACTGCAAGTAATAAAATTTTCACCATATTTACAACTATGTTTAGAACTTGCACAAAATAAGTGTCCAATCTCTGCCCTGCTCAAACACGACTAAAACTTGGACAGAGTGAATGTATACAAAAAGAATGGGGGAACTAGCTATAAAAAGCGCGCCAACGTATTTATACTTAATTTCACATCACGTCCTATTATAGAAATTGCACAGGAATCAATTTGTTCGTGAGTAAATTTTACTAGCGATGTACTACAAATTTGTCCAATGATGTCAAGGCACCTTTTACTAGTGTAATAAAATTTGGAGCAGCGCTTCATGCGTAGAAGGGAAACAATGGGCGCCATCATGGCTCCAGTTTCCGTCGATTTGGTTGAATCTGCAGTAAGTGGGCTGGTCCTGGCGCTGTTTTTCTATGTCAAAATATTAAGGTCACTGGTAACATAGAAAACAACGATAGTAAAATAACTGGGAATTTAAATTATTATACAAATTTTTAATGAGATTTTGTGATTATTCGTTGCTCATTATTCTATAATTAGTGCTTAGAATAAAAGAATAACTTAATTGTTGCTTAATTGTGGCAATTATAAGCTAGATGGAATTTGTAGATTCTGATCATAAAGAATCGGATATTATGATATATGCTATTAATAGATTAGACATTTTATTATAATCGTGACGTATGGAACAAAGTAACAGATGCCAGGACTTTTAAAATGGAAAATTTCATAACTCAACACGTGATGCGGTTATATTATATCATATTATGGTCCTTTTGCTACAGTGATACCAACAAACGTTTGGCGCGTCTGTTAAATACCCTACTTTTGTCGGGTAACTACTCCGTGATTTATTAAATTAGAAACATACTGAAGGAAGAATTTTTTGAAGTCACCTTTACCAGTTTTGCTCACCGATACTGCAGAATTTAAAAGTCTGTTTCAGAACTTTGTTCAAATTCATGAAAAACTTAAGCACAAAACACTAGACAAAATGATCTATTTTCAGTTAAGCTGAAAAAACTTTTTGTTGTAAAAAGTAGAACCTATTTTTAAATTTTTATTTATAAAGGTTTTCTCCATACAACAATTATTTCTGTTACTTCCTTTGATCACACGTTTACAGGTGGGTAGAAAAAAATAGGGCGTGGAAATAAGAGAAGAAAACAAATTTGTTTTGCATCTTTATGTAATCTCGTCTTTGTAGTTGGCGTTTGCTTATTCATGTCCCCAAATTGTAATATTTTTGTGGGTTAATGGCTAACCTAATCATAAAATTACGTTCAACACGATGCGCAAGGAATTCTAAATGAAAACTATTGCGATATTTTTGTCTTCCTGTAAACCCGTTCATGCTCGTTGTGTGTGGAAGGATATACCACATATAATGTATCATTAAAAAATTCATAGTTAAATTATTACTTTTTATGTTGTGTTAAAAGGATGCATAATTTTCTTAAAAATAACAAAATAATCCGCTATATAAGTGCAAACCTATTTAATTTATTTTACGAGCACTAAAACTGGCATTAACAGTTTTTAGTTGAGTAATATAAACTGTTAAAAAATTAAAGCAGAAGATTTATGGATAGAAATTGAGAAATTCGCCGTTTCTAAAAAATTTATTGCTTGAAATTTTTGTTTTCGTATTCCTAGTTATTTTTGCTGATTAGTTACCACATTAATCGAATTCATAATTTCTCTCAACATCTAATTTCTTATTTTACTTCAGTTTTAATGTCCATAGAATTTAAAAATACAGGTTGCCTATTTCGGTTCTGATATCTATTGGTAAGTCTTTTTTTTTTACTTTTTCAAGGATGCAGAAAAAATCATGATTTATTAAATTTTAGAAGAAGATCTAGAAAGTAGTCACATAATTAAAAAAAATCTACAGCCGTACACAATTGTTTTTAAAACAATCTCACACTGAGTGGAAAACAATCGTTGTTCTTTGTTGTTAAAAAAATACCTTGTCTTGTTGCTGCATCTTCCAGATTCCCATTGCACAAATCACTTTTACAAGACGCGCAAACAGAATTCTCTGGACATGGAGGTTGTTGATTTTTTTCCACAACTTGGCATTTTCGAACCGCTCGAGTGGGAGAACCACTATCTGAAAATGGAAGAAACGTAGTACTGGTCCTTGTACTTTTCCAAATAGCTAACACCTTTTGCTATCTCTGTTGTACAAAATGCTTCGTGCGATTTTCCAATATTCTGTTCACATACTTCTTCTCGAGCGTCTGCTATTTCACAAGGGTCTAAACAGTAGTAACACTTCAAGGAATTCACACCTGAAAATTTTGTTTAACGTATTATTGTGTTAAGACAAACCCAGGGTCGTGTTTCTAAGACATGCTAATTATATCCATAGTTTCTTAACATTTTGATTTTAAAGTTAAACTAATTGAGTAATAAAAGGATTTTAAAAGAGTTAAAGTTTCGAATGCGCAGTGTTTTGTATTTTGACTGTAAGAATAAATACCTGGACTTCATGACATTTTTACCTCCAGCTTTAGGGTAAAGTATAACAGTGGTATTTTCAGTTTTTCTATATTTTATTTTACATTTCGGAGGATATAAAAATGCAAGTTTACTATTTGCCTTTTTTGGTGATTAATTTTTTTTTTCCTTATGAAGGATGTTTGAGAAACTACTGATTTGATTTCCCCGAAGTTCTGGCAATACACTAATGTTATTTATGTATTTTACAATTTTTTAATCCTGCAGCGAAAAAAAATTAATGTGGCAATTATGGTAAGCACGAAATCAAAACGAGTGGATTTTGTGAAAATTTTTTCAAGGACATTGAAAAGGATGAATTCTTAGCCATTTTATTAATCAATTACGAGAATTTGTAATGTTTCAGATGTAAAACTGAATTACCTCTTTGATTTATGATCAATAGTCGCATAAACTTCACTGCAGTCAGCTGCCAATTGCACAAAGTATAAGACGTCAATTACCCCTACTATTCCGGGACTGAAGTGTGTGGTTTGTAATACATTTTATCACATCAAGTGTACTGAAATAACAAGAGCTCAACATGTTGTAATAAAATCTACTGAAGCTATAGAATTGAAGTGTTCTGACTGCCGCAATATCAACTCTTCAAAGGACCCTAATGGTATTTGTAACGGTTGTAAATTAATTCCACGGTTAAAAGAAATAATCAGTGATATGGCGAAATCAGTGGTGTCGCTGAAGGTTCAATTATTATCTGAAGCAAAAAAATTTACTGATATGAATGTTGAGGAGATGATACCCGAGGTGAACGATCGTCAAAATCGTAAAGCCAACTTAATAATTTACGGATTAACCGAACAATCTGCCAGCTTATCTACCCCTGAGAAATACATGATTTTTTTAATGGTACTATTGACATGGTCTTTGACATCATTTGTATATCTGAAACATGGCTAAATGACTCTGTCTCTAATGCAGAAATAATATCCCCCCACTAACTCATACAATGTGTAATCGTAATTACAATAATCAATTAAATACTTCCTTTTGACTCTCAAGAGGTGGGGGTGTTCTCCTAGCATTAAAATGCTCTATCACTGTAGAAAATATTGATTTAACTAAACTACTTAATCAATGTTCAGATTGTAGGGTGTAAACACTATCTAAACAGACTACTGTTCTATAATTATATTTGTTGTCTTTTTTCCCAGAATACCCTCTTAATAATGACTTACTTCCATTTTGTAATTATTTTGAAGAGAACTTTAGTGGTGATGATAGTCTGTTTATAATAGGAAACTTTAATATTCTCCAATACACTACTGATATAAATACTGATATAAATAACACTCTTGTTCTCACAGTTAAAAACTTTAGTTGCTGGATCTTGTTTTCTCAAACACTAATTGTAAGGTCATGCGTGATTTAGTTCCTGTCGTAGAACATTCACATCTCTCTTAATTTTAGTTTATTTGAAAAGTGACAGCACAAACTCCTTTCCAAATAATAATGTAAGTCAATCAAAGTCTTTTAATTTTCGTAAAGCTAATTTTCCTTTGCTTTATCAGGAACTTTGTAATGTCGATTGGTCTTTTTTAAGCAATTTCAAGGATACCGATACCACGGTAGGACATTTTTTGAGTTATTTATATAAAATATTAATCAAACATTTACCAACATATAGAACTATTTCCAAAAAAACTCGATTTCCACCATTGTGTGATAGTAACATAATCAGTAACATTAATTCCAAATCGTATTATCATAAAAAATTTAAAAAATGTAAAAATACATTTTATTATGCCAAGTTCAAATTCTACCGTAAACTGCTAGAAAACCAAATAGCTGCTTCACATAAAAAATATCTTGCAGATATAGAAACTGATCTTAGGACGATCCCAAAAAACTGTAGTCCTATATACAATCCAAAAAAGGTCTGACAAGAATTCCTTGTCGAATGATCTATAATGATAATTCCCTTAATACTACTTCTGATATTGTTGATGCATTTGCCTCATACTTTCAATTATCTTACACTCAGTCTTCCGACAATAACTCCAACATAGATACTTACAATTTAAACACACCAACGTTCTATGTCAAAGAAATTACTGAGCATGATATAGTTACTCCCATAAATTATCTCAAAAATTCATTTACAGCTGGTGCAGATGAATTACCTAGTTTCTTCGTACGTGACTGCAAATATGTATTTATTCAACCTTTATTAGAAATATTTAATACGGCCCTTAAGAATGGTGTTTTTCTATCGAAATGGAAGCTATCTAAAGTCATACCTATTTTTAAATCTGCAGATAAAGCTGATGTTTCAAAATGTCGTCCAATCTGCATCTTATGTAATTTCTTCAAAATTTTTGAAATTATTTTAAACTCTTACATATATCCTCATGTAAGAAACTGTATTTCATCATAACAACATGGTTTTATTGACAAACGTTCAACTGTCACAAATCTGGCAAGTATATCTCAATTTATTGCTGAAGCGATTCATAACCAGTCGCAAGTGGATGTAGTATATACAGACTTTTCAAAAGCTTTTGACCGTATTGATAACAAAATGTTAATAGATAAGATTGAAGCATTTGGTATTACAGGTTTGGTTTTACATCACTAGAAATTATATATTTCTCATAGGTCTCAGTATGTCTTCTACAATGGTTTCTCTTCTTATACATATAAAATATATTCCGGCGTGCCTTAAGGAACCACTCTTGGGCCGTTATTGTTCAGATGTTTATTAATGATTTACCAACCAAAATATCCCACTCTACTGTATGCTGATGATGACAAGTCATATAACGTTATTTATTAATAATTTTATTACTTCAAAATGATTTAAACCGACTTAATTTGTGGTGTATTTCCAATAAACTATACTTGAATTTGCACGTAAAAGCTCTCCTACAATTTATGATTATAACATTGGTAATGAACAAATTAGAGAAAGCGTCATCACAGATTTAGGTATTTTTTTTTATTGTAAGTTAACGATTGTGTATCATATTAATCATATAATAGAGCGAGCATTTTCACTATTAGACTTTATAATATTTCAAAAATTAATGTTTTGTTTAATTCTTGTGTTGTTGCATGTTTACAGTATGGCTGTATTATTTGGCATCCAATTTATTTCATTCATATAAATGCTGTTGAGCAGTTCAGAGATTTCTCAGATTTTGTTGGTTCAAAAAACATGGTATCTATCCACAGCGTGGAATTAATAATTCCATTTTGTTAACTGAATTTGGGATGCTATCTTTGGATATTAGAAGACAGCTTGCCATTATAACGTCCTTTCATAAAATCGTTCAATTTAAAATAAAATTTACTGTCCGTAAATCCACTTTGTGTGTTGTCATGTCTGGTATGTTAATAGAAAAATGAAGTATTGATGTCATACATACATACATACACTATTATTATTATTATTATTAATATTATTATTAAAATGAAGCGCTCGGGCAGACACCGAAGTCTGTTATGTCCGTGCAAGACGACAGTTGATGGAATCACAAATTATTTCAAATATAATACCTATTACTAATTATGGATATACAACTATCTATGCTTCCGAAAGGTGTCGTAGTTGACCTTAAATCTAGGAACGGAAGCACTTTCAACAACTTCAGGAGGTAATGCATTCCATTCGGTGAACACCCTGTTAGTGACGAACGTTTGACGAATAGAAGTCCGAAAATTGTCCTTCTCCACTTTGAAACGGTGACCTCTGGTTGGTCCACCAATCTTGACAGGAAAAAGATGTCTGATGTCTGATGTCTTACACGCCTGTCGACTAACGATGGCAATTTCATAAGATTAAGTCTGTCAGGGTAAGACGGGCGCACTTGTCCAAACGGTATTCTTTTGGCACGACGCTGGACAGATTCTAGTAAGTTGATATCACGTTGTAATGTTGGAACCCAAACGCAGCTAGCAGATTCTAATATCGGTCTAACATAAGTTTCATACAGTTTAGTTACAGTTTTTACATCAGCTTTAGCAAATGTCTTTCTGAGAAGATATAGTATCTTGTTGGCTTTTTTCACGACTTTTGTGATATGTTCAGACCACGTCAAAGTAGACGTTACAATCACACCCATATCCGACAAAGAATTACACTTGGTAAGCTCGGTGCCGTTGATATAATAAGTTTGCTTCGGATTGTCGCTGCCTAACTAAAGGATATTACATTTGTCCGCATTAATTGAAAGTAACCATTTTAGTGACCAGTTATAAATAGTTGCTATATCCTTCGTTAAGACTTCATAATTGGAACAAATATTGTAGATTTTCAAATCGACAGCATACATTGCCCAAGGAGAAATTAAGCAGTCTTTTATATCCGATAGATACGTTAAAAACAACAACGGTCCTAATACAGAACCCTGTGGTACACCGCTCAGAACTGGAATAGGAGAACTAAACATGTCACCAACCTTAACCTTGAATATTTGGTCAGAAAGAAAAGATTCAATCCACCTGAGAAGACTATCTTGGATTCCATAATGTTTAATTAAAAGTAATTTCAAAAGGAGTCGGTGTTCCGGCACACGATCGAAAGCCTTCGAAAAATCAAAATACGATATCTATTGAGCCACCAGAATCGAGTTCTCTGGTCCAGTTGTCTAAACAACAGAGCAATTTGGTCGCTATGGACTTTCCAGGTGTGAAACCATGTTGCTCGCGAGGTATAACATGGTGTGCTGTTAAAAATGCCACCAACTGATCGTAGATGATACATTCCATTAGTTTCACTACTACTGAAATTAAACTTATAGGTCTATAATTCGCCGCATTAAACGTGTCCCCTTTTTTGAACACAGAAGTGATGATGGCAATCTTCTAATCGTTTGGCAATCGTCCTGACCGAAATGATTGGTTCATCAAGATGCAAAGCGGGTGAGCAAGAGAACTGGCACACTCTTTTAAAATTTTTGCCCTAATACCATGAGGACCAGGAGATTTGGTAGTATGTATCTAATTTGTGCAATTTATCTTTTATTAAATCGGAGGAGAGGCATATGCCACTGAGACAATCTAAGTCAACAAATACGGTATATTCGCGTCTGGTTCAATTGTGAACGACTGTGCAAAAGGTTAGCAAAAATGTTGGCTGTCCTCTACAATGTGCCCGGTTGCATCTTTCACCTGCGGCTTTCTGACAGGCCCTGATAATCTATTGCGAATGTAGCTGTAGAACGTTTTGGGATTTTTCCATGGTTTAGAAGAAAATGCTTTGTAAGTTAAGGGGCAAGAATACTTACCAGTTGCTAGTTTTAAATGATTTTTAAAACTTTCCCAATTTGTATCAACCGATGGTTGGTTTAAAAGGTTTGCCCAGTCTACAGTACACAAATATTTATCAGCTTTTTTAAAGTCAACAATTCTCTTTTGTAAGGTAACAGTTTTAGATCTCGCTACAAAACAAAGTTGGAGATCTAGCTTTAAAGTTACTTGATCAGATTTGCCGAATGAGTTTAAATAATTCAAATTTGCCAGTGAAGTACAATCGGACGTTAAAATTAGATCTAATGTAGACGGTCTTTGGTTCAGCCTATAACGGGTGGGTTCATTAACAAGTTGGTTCTTGTTGCTGTTGACTTGCAGATCTATTAATAGCTGCGAAGATGGACTGAAATGTTGACTCATATTTAAAGGCCAAGCTATGTCTGGCATATTAAAGTCCCCGAATACAAAAAGTTCATTGTGACTAAAGGCAAGTTGCGATAGAGAACTGAATAAGTTATTATCATCAGCAAGCAGCACTGGTCTCGGAGGGCGACAAACACATCCCAGGACAAAAGTAAATTTTTATCAAATGCTTTAAAAAAAGTGAAACAATGCCGAAAGTATTAACATTTATTTATAGGAGTTCCCGAAAATTCTGATAAAATCTGGTCAGAAACATATATACATACACCCCCTCCTAATCTATCAATTCGATCACTTCTGAAAAGAGCGAAATTCGGCACAGAGACGAAGCTGTCAGGTATACTAGGAGATAACCACATTTCTGCCAACATAACAAATGAAGGATTGTTGCAAGAGATAAAGGCAATTAATTGGTCATATTTGGCGAGACGAGAAGCAATATTCGAGTACACAAGAGAACTAACAAAGTAATTACAGTTATTTTTATTATTGAATTGAAGCATTTTGTTACATATTGTATATATTCAACTGAGTCTAAAAGAATTTGGTTTTCTCCAAAATATATTTAATTGCCATAATCCTCTGCACACCTGCAGCTCGAGCATTTCAATCCGAAATATCCGCATCTCACTATAGTATTTTAAATACCGCTTAACTTGACTCATCTTCATCTGGCTCCAGTGCAGTTGTTTATTCAGAAATATAGGAGTAACAAATATTATTTGACAGTAGTTCATACTTTTTTGGTAATCCTATTACGGTCTTGGACGTCAGGTCTACCATTTCTATTTGCCAGAACTTTAATTCTACGATCGCTTTAAACATTTGTATATTGTCCTTATCTGTGAGGATTGCATCCCCTTGCGTATCCTACGGGGTTGTTTTTTATGCCACCGAATAGCATGAGTCTTTACCTGTACTTAACAGTCCATACATATCTTTATTTTAACTTACAGAGGTTATCACAAATTATTTATATCTATATATATTATTTCAACAGAACTTCTCTCGTCCCTGAAGTATAATAAAAAAATTGGTCTAAAGAGTTTAGACAGTACTTCCCTCGCTGTCGGAAACGTGACGACTGCATGTCTATTATGTTTTTTTTTTTTCGCAGTAGATTTCAAAGCCATCGGTGTTGTAGTTCCTGAGTAAACCAATAAAATAAATTTACACATTCATTATTTTCTTTGAGTTACAAGTACAGACTCATCATATTTTGTATATTCTAGATAGGATTTATTCGGCAAACTTTTGAGCTGACGTGATCAGTTTTTTGGAGAAGATAACCAAATATATTTTGACTAAAAATTTATTATGCTCTTTATAATCTTAAAACATTTGCAAGATTTCAAAACATTCGATTCTGTAGTTCCTGATTAAATCAATAAAATACATTTACCCATTCATTAATTACATGTTTAGGACTATGTTATTTTATACAATTTCCTATGTACAATTTTGAAGTGACGTTATCGCTTCAGTGGTGGGGATGATTAGATAAATTTTGGTTAGCGTTTTACCATATACATGATATTTCTAATATAAATACAAAATTTCACAACAATCGGTCCAGTACTTTCGGAGATTATCTGTCTAATAAAAATCCGGGACGGCAGACAGACGGAAACGGGAGATCCATTTCTTCGTCTTCTAGGGGTCATGAAAGATCGAGAAAATGTAAAAGTAGAGAGTCGGCCAACGGACTCGATTAGAATACTTCCTTTGCTTACGCTCGGGAAGTAAAACCTATGAGTGCGCTGATAAACCACGATTATGCAGTCATAATATTTCGCATATTTCAGGGAAGATTTATTCGGCAAAATTTTCAGATGAGACGTCATCAGTTTTGGGGGAGATAAACGAATAAATTTTGCTTAACGATTTACCATGATTACGATAATCTTAACATATTTACAAGATTTCAGAGGATTCGGTTTTGCAGTTTCAAAGTTAAATTACAAAACAGTTTTGAATATTTTTATAAAAATCTGGATGTCTCGGGTGAAAAGTCTGCAAGGATCCATACACCACAAGTGCAGAAGTATTTTACTTTATAAAATTTAAAAAACTTACTATTATAAATTTTGGCGATGACGTCATCCTATTGGTAGCTAACGTTTAACCATCTACATGATATTCCTAACATATCTACAAAATTTGACAACAATCGGTCTTGTAGTTTCGGAGATTACTTGTCTAATAGAGACAGACAGACAGATAGACAGATAGACAGAAAATATGAAAGTGGAAATTCGCCCGAAGGAACTCAATTACTACACTTTCTTAGCTTACGCTTGAGAAGTAAAAACAAATAAAATTCGCAGAATTAAATACTATCATTTTTTGAATACGCTGTATTTGTTCGATTGTACTTCAGAGGCGGGAAAAGTTCGACAATTTTTTTTGCAAACTTACAAGCGTTGGATTAAAAGTAAGGTTATATCAACCTATCATTTCACATTTTAAACAGGATTTACTTAGCAAAATTGTGCGAAGACATCCCTGAGTTAGTGGGGATCATCAGACAAATTTTCGTGCGAGTTTTAGGGTCTATATACTATTGTTAAAAAATATACGCAATTTCAAAACACTATGTTTAGTAGTTTCGGAAATAACATGTTCAATAAAATTCCTGTGGTAGACTCGGGAACATAAAAATGATTATAATTTTCTAGAGAAGACAGTGGGCTAATTTATACAACGAAGTAGAAATGAATTTTGATGTTTGGAGAAATTAAAAAGAAAAAAATTAAAAGAGAAATTTGGAAAACCAACTCAACGTTTGATTTAAAATTTCTTGGAGAAGAGTATCTTATATATGTTTATACAAGTTAAAGTGTGAAAAATATAAAAGTACCGAAAATAGCAATATTACCACACTGCCACAAGAAATTTTTAGTTTTGTTGAATTTGATAAATATTCGAGAAATGTGGAATTCACAGCATAAATTACACATTAGCTGTAATGCGTAGTTTCGCCTTAATACACCACAGGTTGTAGAATACAAGAGTGCAGTTGTCAATCGTTTGCCAACAACTTTAATAAGGTTTCTCGTGTCATGTAACCTACTTAAAATTTATGTATTCTTCAAATGCTGGTGACGCCATCTCCAAAATTATTACGATAACTTTACTGTTTTCTAAACGTACATTTTTGAAACCTTTATGTTAAATGTGTATAATAATATTACTTGACCCAAGATTTTTACTTTCTAAGCGCAAGCTAGTGAAATATTTTTACAAGGTCCATTTGGCAAACTGTTTAGTGCCTGTGATACGGGATGAATAATAGTGGAATAAAGCAAGAAATTGTGGGAGCCAAAATTGTCTAAATTGGATACTTAATTTAAAATATTCTGCAGTTTATCGTTTATGATAGCACTACACTCTTTGCACAACATGAAGGACACTAATACCTACGGTGTTATTTAACTACAGACTACTGGACTGATTTTCCTGTAAATTTTTTTGTTTATTGAAAAGGTTTTCAAACAAATTGTGTTCGTAAATAAAGGTTTATACATTTTACGCTTGGCTAACGTACTATTATCATATCCTTGTTATCACACTTTTGACATAAATAATTATTAGGTATTTGTATTTGCGTTTTTAACCGCCCACGTGTAAGTGTAGTACAATATTCAAACAATAATAATAACTTCGAAATGTCTTATTATCTAAATACAGTAGAAATAGCAGTTAATATTGCTTTAAATATTTAGATCTTTAATTTCACCAATATAATTGGTTGGACAGATAACATAAGAAAACCTCCGAATATTGTGAAACACTTCGAAACTCTAAGCCAATTTTAATACAGTGATTGTCGTTTCCAATCTTTTGAAAAAATCGCATTTGTCCAAAAATATTAATTTCCAGTTGTCTGTAATTCGATACTAATGTTTTATTACTCGTATTTAAAAAAGTTGCAGTCTAATACTGAATGGAAAACAATCACTGTTTGACGATTACTAAAAAATGTACCTGTTATTGTTGTTACATCCTCCAGATTCTCATTGCACAAATCACTTTTACATGACGTGCAAACAGAATTATCTGGACACGGAGGTTGTTGATTTTTTTGGACAACTCGACATTTTCGGACCGCTCGAGTGGGAGAACGACTATCTGAAAATGGAAGAAACGTAGTTCTGGTTCTTGTACTTTTCCAAATACCTAACACCTTTCGCTATCTCTGTTGTACAAACTGCTTCATGCGATTTTCCAATATTCCGTCCACATATTTTTTCTCGAGCGTCTCCTATTTCACAAGGGTGTAAACAGTAGTAACACTTCAAGGAGTTCACACCTGAAATTTCCTTTTAACATATGATTGTGTTAAGACGGATTCAAGGTCGTGCTCCTAAGAGATGCTAATTATATTCATAATTTCGTAAAACTAACACCATCATAATTTGGATTTTACGAAAGTCAAACGAATTTAGCACCAAGATAAAATTTTTGGAAAAGTTAAAGTTTCGTGTTTCGCATTTTGAACTTTTCGAGATATTCATATTGTTTTACCTCTGGGTTCTTCTGATGTGGGAAAGTGTGTTGGTTCTATTTGCAAATAGCCTAAAATTACACTGTTGCATTTATCGCTGCTGCACTCGGTGCATCCCATCATTCCTATTGTCATTCCCGATTGATCAGGACCTCTATTTTTCTGGACTACATTTTCGACTACATCTATTAAAAATCTGCAACCTCCTTTCTGCGTATACCCCTTAATGACCACATCTACAAACCAATCGTTAACAAACATTTCGTAGGTAAAATGGAATACCAAAACGAAACACAATTACCTCTACTGACCTCAACAGTGTAACAGTGCAGTGTAACATTTTCCGGTGTTTGAAGTTCTTGACTTAAATGTTTCACTTCGTTATTATAATAATTATGGTCTCGCAACGTGTGATTCAACTTCTTGATATTTCCCAGTTTCAAGCTTTCAAAGTCAGACACGTAACAAAGTAAACTGTAAACTATCAAAAGACACTTACAAGTCCATTTAGCGTGTTTATTTGCATTAAATTACCGTTTTTTGTACAAATAAACGAAAATAAAATTATTATAAACATACAAGATTTCCACATTGTTGATAATAGCTTTCAAATTTTGTGTGAAACTAAACTTAGCGTGTAGGAAATTTTGGCACGTATTTAACGCATGTGTGTAGTAGCAGAATATTTGCGATATTAATAACCATTGTTTTGAGGGCACAACATTAATTTTTGTTGGCGTAATTTAATAGTGAATCACCGATCATAACAATATAGATTTTTTATAGACACATTCTCAGACTACGTTTTCAATGCAGTAGCAAACTAAACGTAAATAAATATTGACAACAAACTTGTTTATTTTATCTCAAAACACATTATCCATAATGTAGCGAATAATAATACAACACAATAAAAAATAAACATGTGCTGTAATCAGTTTTCAAACAGCTGCAACAGCTGTGGGTACTCGCTGTTGTTACTACTTTTAAACGCGGAAACGTTGTCGTTTTTAAGGTAGAGATGTTGTTTGGAAGGTAAAAAGTTTCTTCGTCTTCGGAATTACATCCGTCTTCTTCGCATATTTTGCAGTCTGCGTTTCCTACAGCGCCGATGGAAGCTTCTTCGCTTTTTTCTATCATTTGTTGAAAAGCTTTGATCATGCTGTCGCAGTGACCCTCGGGAACGCAGCCTTTAAGGACGACATCCAGATAATCTGAATATAAATTAAACCAAGATAGAATTATAAATTTCAACGTTTGTGTTTTCTTTGATCTTTCATTAAGAGAAATTTAAAGAGAGCAACGCAAAACTTGAGAGTTATTTTTGATGTTGTGTTGTTTTGACATTGTGGTTATGAGTGCAAACTAAAATAAACTTACTACCTTGCACTTCAAAAGTATGATACGGTACCAATACATTTTTAGACTAAAAAAAATGACAAAACGAAAAAACCACTGTTTAGTTCGAATTGAAAGATTTACTTCTGCTATTTAATTAAACTGCTTATCCTATTTGCGAAATTACGATTTTTACGTAGGGGTTGAGAAACTTAATAAGAAACAAAATTATTATCACACAGTTATTGTGAACATGGCAAATCGCTTCTCAGAATTCATCAGTCATCCCTTCCCAAAATCTGATGACGTAATATTAAAATTTTGTTGAATAAATCTAGGTTAAAATTTATAGCGTGACTTGCCTAATTATTATTATTAATATTATATTTATATTTTTAGTAACATGTTACAAGGGGTATTTAAAAAAAAAATAGAAGTTGTAAATATAATAATTTGGTTGGTCCGCTCTAGGACGTTAAAGGCGTCTCAAAATGTATTCAAAATATGTTTGTTAAAAATGTGCTTTGATTTGCAACGTTGTTTGCAGTTTTTAAAAAATAAAACAATGGTGTAAATTTTCCAAAATTCTGGGAACACTACTTGTTTTTGATCGAAAAAAAAACGCCGTCTAGTCGGCCATGGAAAAACTTTTTTTTTCTAACTATTGTGGCAGTTCTCTATTGACGTTGCCTGTTGGTTTGACATTTGCATTGTAGTAAAGAAAAATACTTGGAACAAAAAAAAAATTATCTAAAGTTCTTACATGTAGTCAAGCATGAAAATTATATCACCCATCACATTAGAGATGCATAGAAGAATTTCGCAAACAACTTTCCGTTATCTGAACATTAAAACTTAGTAGTAACAAAAATTTATACTCTACATGCGAGTTGTAGAGTAAGTTATAAATTTCATTAATTAAACGTTTTGATGTAATGAGGGGTGTTCAATAAATTTCACATTTATATCTGGTCTATATCGTGTTACGTACTACTTGCTGTCAATTAAATTTGTTTTAAATTGATGAATGCCTTGGTAATTTGACAGCGGTCATAGGTTATGGCATCCCCTGATGACACACTTGAAAGTGGTGATAAATAGCTGTAGGGGGTGGTGTTTTCAGTATTTTGCTATCATAATCTGGAAAACTAATGAAAAATTGGTCTAAGGTTGTTTAGACAGAAATTCCTTGCCCCTAAAGAAGAGTACAATATATGCAGATTTTCCTAAAAATGAAAAAATTTTGCACATTGATTAACTATTTAGGATAACCATAAAACGTTTTGCAAGATTTCACAGCCCTCGGTGTTTGTACTTTCAAAGTTAAATTGTTGTTCATGTACCTACTTTTGATTCTTTGTCCACAAATCTAGATGACTAAGGTAAAAAATCAAGACAGGTACATAAACCAAAAGTGTAGCTGTAGCTTATTTTATAAAATTTAAATAATATTTACTATGAACCATTTTAAAGTGGGAATTATTAGATAAATTTTAGTTAAATAAAAAAAGAAGCAAAGATTAAGCCCTACCCACCCGCCCTACTCTCGGTTGTGATGAATTTTTCATTCGTTGTCAAGCTAAGAAATTTAAAATATGTTTCCAATGGTAAATTTTTTGGTAAATATGAATTTTACAATTATGCTCCGGTGGAGTCAATTTTCGGCTTTCTTTTCTACATAATAAGTACATATAGTTTTCTTTGAATAACATGATTTACATAAGAACATGTTTCACATTGTGATTTCTTGTAAAAAAATTAAGATTTTGCTATTAAGCTCCGCCCCCCGGCTCACGATGAATAAGAAAAAATCATCACAAATTATACGAGGGCGGGTGGCCGGGGTTTATATTTTGCCTGTTTTAAAAAAACTGAAAAATCAAAAATTTAAAAATTAGAAAAATTGGAAAGTAGAAGTATAAACATAATGTAAAAAATTGAAAAATTAAAATAACGAAAAATTGAAGAATCGGAAAATTGAAAAATCGAAAAATTGAAAATTCAAAAAACTGAAGCATCAAAAAACTAAAAATATCCCAAATATCGAAAAATCGAGAACTCGAAAGCTGAAAAATCGAGAGACCGAAAAATCGAAATGCCGAAAATTCAATACATTGAGAAATTGAAGAATTGTTATACAATTTCGAAAAATCTCTTTATATCTAGGACAAAAATTGAACAGGGATTCATTAACTAGGACTGTGTTACTTTTCAACATTTAAATATCTTTTATTGGACAAAATTGTAAGTTGACATCAAAACCGAAATGTCGAGAAATCCAAAATTTGAAAAATTGAAAAACCGAAATTTTACAAAATTTAGAAATCGGTAAAATCGGAACATCAAAAAATCGTCAAATCGAAAAACTGAAAGATTGAAAAATGTGTAAAGTCGAAGGATTGAAAAATCGAAAAGTTGAAAAATAAAAAATGTAGATTCGTATATATATATTCTTGATTTGTATTCTACAAATATGGATGACTAAAGTAAAAAGTGAAAACGGATATCTAAAACAAAAGTGTAACTATATGTTATTTTGTATAATTTAAATAATATTTGCTATGAAATATTTTAAAGTGGAAATGATTAGATAGATTTTAGTTAGCGTTTTACCATCTACACCAGCGGTCCGCAACTTTTTGAGGGTAGCGGGCTAAATTTAAATATAATTTTTTTGCGAGCCCAATAATAATAATAATAATAACCCTAATAGTAAACCAGAATACGTAATAAATAAGAAAGGATTGTTATTAATATTATTATGAGTAATCCCTCAACAGACTGAGAGCCCAATTACTGAGGAGTAAAAACTAGGAAATAAAAGCAAAAACAACTAAGTAAACATATAGTTAGACACTGAAAAACTGCTTAATTTTTGCTGGCGAAGTATTAAATATATCAAATTCAGATTCCACCTCTCTATAGTTTTGAAGCATTTGATAAACCGGAGACGATTTCAATATGTTTGTTCTTGGGACAGGCATATGCAAGAAAGAATATGATCTTAAACCAGGTTTTAACACACACAGCTTTAGGATCTTAAGAAGATCTTCACATTTGATATGATAATTTAAAATATTATGTAACATTAAGATAGAAGCTGCTTTTCGCCTGCATACCAAACTCTGATAACTAAATCTACGTAACAGTACATTATTTGGAATTTCTCTTGTAGGGTAAACACCATCACAAGACAAGACAAGAATTTTAGGAATCGACGTTGCGTTTTTTTCAACAGAGAAATGTGGGTTTGATAAAAAGGGCTCCATACCACCGACGCGTAGGTACTCCAAGACGGATCTGACGTATGATACAAAGAGAAGCCTTAGAACATCAAGATCTTTAAATTCCGCCGCGTTGCGAACAACAAAGCCTAATGAATGATTTATGCGCCGAGGTCGAGATAACCTCATAGTGTTTATGGAAACTTAATTTAGCATCATATGTGACACCCAAGTCACATACATAATCAGGACGTTGCCGGACTCTTTGATCCAAGACGTAGTTGTGTACAACATTTGACAGTTTAATCGAATATGACTTGACGACGCATTTATCAGCGTTTAATAGCAAATTATTTTTTTTCGACCATAGCATAACACGATTCAAGTTGTGTTGAAGACGAATACAATCCAAAGATGACTGTACGCCAAAAAATATTTTTAAATCATCTGCATAAAGCAAGGAAGGAACGTCCACAACATCGATAATGTCATTGATATACATCATAAACAATAATGGTCCCAAGACCGAGCCCTGCGGTACACCAGATGTCTGTGGAAATTGACGTGAGGAGCAACTGTTACAAAATACATACTGATATCTGTTGCTTAGATAAGATTTAAAGACACTTAGTAAACCGTCGGAAAAGCCAAAACTCTCCAGTTTTTGCAAGAGAATACGATGGTCAATACGATCAAAAGCCTTGCTAAAATCCAAATAAATGCAATCAACTTGAAGATGTTTGTCAAACATTTCAGAGATATATTGCGTCTTGATTATCAAATTCGTGACAGTCGACCTTCCTTTAATGAAACCATGCTGCATCGGTGACAAGAGCTGCGAAACAATTGAAACACTTTAGCAAAGCTGTTGATCAAAGCAATTGGCCTATATTCACTGATTTCCGCAGTGCTTCCTTTTTTTATGAATAGGCAGAATCCTAGATAACTTCCATTTGTCAGGAAATTTTGAACTGCCCAAAATCAAGTTGAATATAACTGTTAGTGGAGGAGCTAAAATCATGCCACAGTCTTTCACAAAGAATGACGGAATCTCATCGGGCCCAGCGATTAACGTCGGCTTTAGTTTCTTAATGGCTGTAAGCACTTCAGATTCGTTAATTTTTCTAACATCTAATATATTTTGATTTAACGCACTCACAAGATCACTATTAACGGACGTGTTTGATGAGGTGCTACTAACAGGATTAAAAGACCTGGCAAAAAAATGCGCAAACGCATCAGCAATGTCTTGAGGATTGGAAAGTTCGTTATCATTGTAAAACATGTTAGCTAGAATACATGTATGTTTCGATTTATTTTTAATAAACGTCCAAAACTTTTTTGGAACTCTCTTAATCTCAGAGGTGATATTTTGCAAATATTCTTTGTAGGAAGTCCGAATCAAGAGTTTTACAGTAGCGCGTATACTTTTTAAGGTATTATAGGATTCCATTGTTTTATTTCATTTATATTTATGCCACGCTTTCTCCTTCATTTTTTAAGTTAGAAATAATTTGTCCATTATACCAGAGAGGATAAACTCTTGAAGGTTTTCTCTTAATTGGTACAAAAGAAGAAAACAAGGCTTCTAATTTTTTACATATGTCATCAACAACCTTGTTTACATCATCACACGCGTCAAGAAAAGAGAACTCAGTATTTAACATAGACTCATACAATGATGAAAAATCAGCCTTCCTGAAATTACGGGATCCACCACAAATGCCAGAAGGGTTGCCAACTTTACTAGTTTTTAAGGAGGAAAAATCGACATACAACGCTGGATGATATGAATCCTCAGTGCTTAAAAGTTCAACAGGCTTAGAAACAAAACAATGAAAATTAGAAAACACAAGGTCAAGGAGACTATTATCACGATTTAGAACACCATTCCATTGCGTAAGATTAAAAAATTCTGCAAAGTGGGAGATATTTATATCGTCTATAACGATTAAGTTAGCGCTGAATAATTGGTTAATGGAAGATAGATATTCAAAAAGACGAGCATAATCATCAACTACGGCAGAAGGAGGTATGTACAAGACAATTACAAATACCGATTTTTACACTAGTCTAATCCTAGCAATTAAAATGTCAATATGCCTGATCTCATCAAAGCCAGAATTAAGTATCAATTAGACGATGCTTTTTAGCAGCAATCAGTACTCCACCACCTCGACTAGTGTCAGTTGCCGCAAGATAACGATCTTTACGATAGACATTAAAAATATTCGTTTCAAATAATTCATTATTAGACACGTCATTTTTTAGCCAAGTCTTCGTGAGGATCAAGATGCCATACTGCGTCATGGTCATAGAGTTCAAAAGTATATCAGCAAATTTATTATTCACACTTAGAATATTTTGATAATAAAGTTGCAAAGTATCAGACGCCCTATGTTGAGAGTAGTTATGACTGTCTAAAGAGGTGTCAGAGGACTCTTGTAGATTGTTTGTCAATTTTGGAATATCAGCCTTGAAACCATTTGTCGTCACCCTCAAAAGATTTTCTAAATGTAGATCGCTGAGGCGGGAACGATATTTGGATTTTACGATTTTCATCTGAGAAAAAGTTTGTTCACATATATATGTGTTTCCAAATATAGACAACATATTTCGTCCAGATATTTTCAGTTTTGGAAATTTGGTAGTTGACAAATTTGCATAAAATTCTTTTAACCTCCCTCTCTGAAAATCGCTTTTCAAATCTTCACTTGCTTTTTTTAATGACGTAACGTAGTGGCTTCAAAGTTGATCAAGTTTTTAAATCTTAATTTTACCAATAATTAATTAAAAAAAAGATGTGTTTATATCGATTGTATCCGCAGGTTGCCGACCCCTGATCTACACCATATTCCTAAAATATGTACAAAATTTAACAATCGGTCCGGTAGTTTCGGAGACTATCTAAATAAAAATCGACACGGATAGACAGACGGACAGACTGATATGCGATATTATTAGTCAATGTAAAATCTAGAATATCACAACATTTTTCTGAACCGCGTATCTTATCTTTATTAATTTTTGCGAGACAGTAATAATACTAATAGGTAATAATAAGCTAAGGTGATGGCAAATCTTGTACGTATATATAATATTTTTACACTGTTTGTGTTTTAATTCATCATCAGATTTATTTGACTACGGTCCTCTACGTTTCATGACCCCTAGAGTACGAAAAAATTGGTCATCCGTTTCCGCTTGTCGGTCGTCTTTGTCGACTTTTATTAGACAGTTAATATTCGAAACTATTGGACAGGTTGTTGTTTTATAATCATCACCACCAACAGTTTGATGACGTCTCTGCAAATTTGGTTTAGTACATGCTATATAAATTTTATAAAATAACATACTCCTGTACTTGTGGTTTATGAATTTACCCTGATTTTGTTTGTTATTAGTATATTTTTTATCATTCAATGTTTGTCATAGTAAAGCTTTTAAGAAATATATATTTTTTACATTAAAAAAGTTAGGCAACTTATCTAACAAACAGAAGCAATCGTAAGTTATGATATGACCATTGGCCACCCCGCTTTGTGTTCTGATTTAATGGTTTCTTAGAATAACGTCCTCGATAGCAAAGAAGCCGTCAACAATACATACATCGCTTTCTTTGATATTTCGAGATTTGTTGTTATTGTGAGTGACCTTATTTAGAAATGCTTACAGACAATAACGAAAGGAAATAAAGAGGGCAACAATTAATTTTACTGATTAAATCAAGAATGCTTCACCCAATTTTCCAGAAAATTTGAAAATATAGTACTATTATTGTTAGTATTACACTGCATCCATCTAAATTGATATACGTGCGCCTGCGCACAAAATTTTGTAATGAAAAAATTCACTTAAAACATGCCAATAGCTCACCTACAGTTGTTTACATTATTACACATATCTTTATTTTAACTTATAGGAGTTTTCATAAAAAAGTAAATTCAGAAAATCAAATTTTATACATTCTCAAAAAAGTGTACTTCAGGACGAGGGAAGTTCTGCTGAAATTGCTTTCGTACAATTTTTTTCTTTTATTTGAACTTTGCCTGAAATCCACCGGCGACATTAAAATTACACAAACATATCAAAATCCTTCACCCACCAAGTTTGTCCAGAAGATCCCACTTCTGTTGTCGAAACACATTGATGTTTTTGTTAAAGTTTATTGCCCGGATGTGCATAGAGACGTTTAAAATTGCATTTACTTATTTAAAACAGAAAAAAGTGTTTCCAATCATCTTAATTCGAAAATAATATACTTACAAAATGCACAAGCTAAACACCACTGTTAAGACGCAAAAAGAAAACTATTTTTTTATGAATGGACTTTTAAACAATGTATCACACATTTTGATTATGTAGGCTTCTTAGGAAATTGTTATTAATAGAAATGACGTTGAAACTGAACAATTTTTCAGTTGCTTGCTGAAACAATTTACTTACTTCATGGGGAACATCAAAAAATATTACAGATAGTTAATAATTTTGTAAACATTCAACTCTTCTCCATGGAAGTGAGCATTAAAAATTTTTTACAGAAATTAACAAGACATTAAAAATTGATTACCAGTTCCAGTTACCTGAAGTAATGGTAAAACACTGTAACTTTCCTGTAATTGTCGGCCCCTGAACACTACTAACTTCGTTGATATAGTCACTACACTCTTGCAGTTTATGTTTCAATCTGTGCACGTTCCCACTCAGCCAACTGGTAAAGTTTACCGTATAACAAGTTAAACATAGCGCTGAAAAGAAGAGTCGTTAACCCAAAATTTTAGTATGAGAATAATCCACCTTTATGCATTACACATACACACAAAAATAGCCCCATTAACACTTTTGACATTATGCTTACGACAGATTCAGATGCTTCAGCATGACTAAAATTAGATAGTTAGAATGCCCATTTTTTGTTTATCGACACCATGATGTAACGCACATGCGATTGAGAATATTTATATTAAAAGCATTTATTTTCAGACGAATAATTGAAAACTGAACCGTAGTGTAAACGCCTTTGATATGCCTACTCGAAAATAAAGATGAACATCAAACAGGTACTGTAACAATTTTTTATTCGGTTGTTTATTACTCATTACTTTAATACTGAACATTTGCACAAAATAAATTAAATAAATAAATAAACAAGTTAGGTTTAGTAGTCTAGTAAAGTAGAACTGGCCAACGATGACTTTTCAAACAAACGTGGTTTGTTACAACCAATTCCGGTACATTCGTTGCATTGGACCTTGTGCGTCCTACCATAACTTCCACTTTTCATCATTAAGGTGACGATATTTTTCATTAAACCGCAACCATATAACGGCATGCAGCCTTTAACGACTACGTCGTTGGCACCTAATCAACAAAAATAAAGATTTGTTTGTGTTATTTGCTGCGTTGATTGGATCTTACCTCTATCAACTGTAAGCGAAAAGCAATGGAAGTTGATATTTGGGGGCAACATTGGGTTGGTTATTCCTCGCATTCGTAGAACATCTTTCATATATTCCTGACAATTTTGCAACTGGTGTTTGCCGCTTTGAGGATTTTTGTTTCGTAGCGTTCTTAGATCTGTAGTATAGCATTCCAAAGCGAAAACTGTAAACCGCCAAAAAACACAATTTTCGGTAAAAGTAAATTTTGACAATAATAGACTTACCATTATATAGGGATATAATCACAAAGAGGGTTATAACAATATAATTCTTAGCCATGTTAGGTACACTTTCGTCTTCTTAAACGTTGAACTATTGACCACCATAACATCTTCAAGAGTTTATATAGTTAAAAATTATGGGGAAAACTAGAAAGGTTATCTTGATTGTGGTTACGGCTAATCCCAAAATATTATCTAATAACATTTTGCATCAGTGGGAAAATTCAAAAACCCAAAATTTTCTAGTTACAAGAATTGAAATAAGATAATGTAACCAGAATCACTTAAACAACGTAAATAAAAATATGACGGGAGTACTGACTGAACTTTGCACTGAAGATTTAATGCGTTTTGATAAAATAAAGCAGGAACGGATTTGAGACATTGACCGTAGAATTTAAAAATATCCCGTGCAGCAGCACTTAGCATAAATTGATACATTTTGAAAAGTGCAGTAGTTAAAAATTCATGAACATTTGACAGTTATTTTACTACAAATTTTAATTAAAATCACAGCATAGAATAAATCTTAATTATAACCAGTTGTTTCGACAAAAACATTTTTAACATATTTGTTTCTTACGCAACAAATAAAGTTATTCCGTACCATATAATTAGTAAATACAAGCAGTACCAAGAATCTAGAAACGAATTTTTAAATGAATTGCGTCACTACTTATTTAAAACAGAATGGAAAAACTAATTACCCTTTTATAATTTCAAATGATCAAATAAATTAAATTCCAAAAATGTTCAAAACATTCGTGGTTAGTCAAAAAAAATCTTATTATTTTTCGGGGCACTTTATTGTTTTGTATTTATAAATATGCAAACGTAAAAACAAAAAACATATTTCTTAAGCTTTCAAAGTGTGTTATTATTGGGGCAGATGATTGTGAAAGGAAAGAAACGAACGAAACAACAATATAAAATAAGGTAACTATAAAAATAAAATGAAACGGAACAGTTAATAGAAACAATCAATAATCTCTATTATTTTTGCAAAGATACTTCCAAATTCCGAAACCGAGAGAATTTTGTTCAAATTTCATACTCCAGCAGTTTCAGCTTTCATAAAACTACTCAAAATATGAGACCTCATCACAATTCTTAACATACGCACTCTAAAGCCATAAAAATTCGGAAAGAATCTTCAAAATATACACGTATACATCGAAAGAATGCGACTATTAAGCACACAATACGTCGTTAACTAAAACAAGCGGCGTTGGCTAAAAAGTATACATTTGAAGAAATTTGAAGGATTTTCTTTCCTCAACACAGAGGACGCGATTATAATTATTTATTTCATACTTGATCAAATTCTGATATTTCTCCGCTATAATGAGGTTTTTTAAGCGCCTTTAAGAACATATAAATCAATGACGAACTGCTCATTTTCTTAGACGAGAAAGTTATTTCATGCGGTGAACGTTTGTTATTAAAATAAATAAAAACTCTTACCAAATCCAGTATATAAGCAAACATCACATCCTCGCTCACTGCTGTCACTTTGTTTGCAAGTTTCCAGTCTTTAAATAGCTTAAATTCTTTGTTGTGGCAATCGCAACGTCTTGTTCAAAACCATTTTTTTAAATTAATTAATAATAATAGTAATTATTATTATTTTGCTATTATTAAGTGTAGGCGGGCACAACATTACTGTATTCTCAAATTTTCGCGAAAATAGGGAGGGTAAAATATTATACATATGACGTAATTTGGATTTTGTTGCGCAAAGCTGGATGCCTGTCGTAAAAAATTAATACAGATTCATAAACTACAACTATAGGAGTGTGTTATTTTATAAAATGTAATGGAATTCTTGCTAGAGCGATTAGACACATTTTGGTTAGCGTTATACTATCTACATGATATTCCTAAAACACATAAAATATACGAACAATCGGTTGCAAAACTTGATAAACTAATAATATTTTTAGGGGAGAATTATTAACTTAAACCATAAGGTCAGGAACACAGAACTACGGGAAGGTGAGATTTGGTTGATGATATTTTGAAATGTCACCAGTTCTTTGGAGCGAATCGGCAGCAAACTTTGTTTGATGCGTTACTTCTGCAAATGTTTATGCAAATTTAATTGATGTGTAATAATAAATATTGTGGTTACGATGCGGCATACACGGCAGGTAATTTCATATACTAAAATAAATTAATTAGCCCTCAATGGTTTGTATAGACGTGATTATGTCAAGAAATTTTCTAATAAATATCATCACAGACTGCAGACGACACATTGACGGCAGACAGACGGAAACGAAGCACCTATTTTTCCATACTCTAGGAGTCATGAAACATCGAGAAAACATGAATCTAGTCTGTCATTCTTTCTCGATGATTCTGCTCTACTGACAGGAAGGCTCAAAACACCTGCCGCCGATTATACTCTCTAACCGATTTTCGCAAAACAGGCCAGCTATTCGTAGAAGCTACGCGTTTCACACGGACGCGACTCTCCCCATTAATTTTCAATTCAGCATCTATTTGGGCAAATGACAAAACCGCAAAATTTAACTAGAAACCGTCTGTTCCGTTTTCGCCCACGCTCCTGTTTTAATTAAGTTCGAATTCTATTCCTTTCGAATTTATAACGATAACTTTACGACTATTAGAATTACAAGAAATGAAGCAAGCAGCATTTAATTACGCCACACTTTATCAGCAGTTTTAAACAACAAAGAATTTACATGCGTTTAAATTATGCTTTAATTCGAGTTACTGAGTAAATCACAATGTGTTCGCAGATTACACATTCAATGCGATCAAAATTACAATAAGCTGCGCCATCGAGAATAAATGTTCAAATTCAAGGCGCAAAAAATATTATACCTACAAGGGAATAATTAGGTCTGCGATAAACTGTTAAACCTGTAATGAGGTGAGAAGCCACGCAATGTGGATCCAGAAACTTCAGTTATATTATGATAAATAAAAGAGTGAAGTCTGAATACGTGAATTTCCTGACACACGTGGTTTATATGAACAGTTTCATGACTGTTAAATTGTGTTAGAACCAGGAACCGTTAAAAATCTTAACATAAACTGTAAATTTACAAACAATAAACACAATAACACGTGTTGACAGCATCGTCAATTTTACACATTTCAGATCAGAAAAACATTAATAATAATTACGCTCGTTGGAGTTTTTAAACAAATGTCCTTTTATGAAGTTACAAACTAAGTTTAACCTACCTTTATTTTTCACCTCGCTTCCTTCTTACATTGCCAACCATCTAACTACCACCAAATTTCTCTACCCTAATTTGAAGATCTCTTAATTTTTTAAATTTCAGATGCGGTTTCGCGACATTTTTTTTTTATTTGAGCGCGAAATTTTAATTCAAACGGGGATACCACAGTATATTCTTATATATTCTTCCTATATAGTGACGTTTTTGTCTGATTTCATTAATTACTTGTCCGTGTCTCAACGCCGTAAAGAACGTTGTAAAGATCCCTAGAATCCTGATTCATAGATTGTTCAGATTCATATTATTTACATAGCATTTTTCTTATTTTGTTAAAAATGTTAATATTTTTTCTCATAGGAGACTACATAAATAAAAAGTGATTATGAAATATCGTATTTCAAATTGGCTTTGGAAAATCTGTCACTACACTTTCGGAAGTATATTGCAATCTATCGTTCGACCTAAATTATTGGTTGCCTATCCATCAGGCAAAAACTACACTGAAAAAAGCTTCCGAAAGTTAATTTTAAGACATTTGTTTATCTCAGACATAAAACTGCGAATGGATGATTTCATCGTTTTCAACTTCTCGTAGCTTCTAGAGTATGAAAAATCCGGTCTCCCGTTTCTATCGATCCTTATAAAAATTTAGAAATATTTTTAAAATATCGCGTAACTGACACAACGTACCTAATGAAAATTTGTCTAACCGTCACCAAAAATTTTACGACGTCATCCTAAAATTTGGTAGCTAAATCCTGTTTAAATAATGTGAATAATGTGCTCTATATGTATGATTTTCGAAACTACAAAATCGACTGCTCTCAATTTTTTTGTTTTAGAATCAACGGACTGAATTGTTTGAACTCTTAACAAGATATTAAATTTAATATCGTCTTCGTCTAAGTTTATTAAGTAAATGTTTGTCAGAGAATGCACTTAGAGATGCAAAGTTTGTGCTTCAGTTAATATATTTAGAATTGTTTATACAAGGTGTTAAAAATTAAATAATGACTCAGTTAACTTTATTGATTAAACAAAAAACGGTTTCTTTAATTTTCCCAAAATTCTAGGAATACAAAATTTTCATTTTAATATTATTATCATCAAAATAATTTAATGTTCCTTAGACGGAGTTTCTCTCGCCTATAAATTATAGTACAACATATCCAGGATGTTCGCAGAATTTGATCCCTATAAAAGTTAAAATAAAGATGTGTGTGGTGTTACAGTATAGTTAAAGAAGCGAGTTTTTCCATTACATTGTGACCTCATAAACATTTTAACAAGGACACGTATATCAATTTGTCTATATGCAATGTATTCTCAAAGTTTCGGACAATGGGGCGAGCCGTTTTAGATTTGTTCAATAAAATATACTGCCTCATTTAATAATTTATTTGATTCACGCTTTATAAGCTGTTTTAAACAATTTTAATTAATGAGACTGATATTAACTAAGCTAATATTGGGTGGGTGCAAATAAGAAAAACACCAACCTTAGCCAAAAATAATAATGGAAATTTTACTATTTAGTAAACTTTATGCTAACATCGTCAATATTTACAGTACGTAAGTTTGCACAATTACCAACCGCAAACCAGGTGATGGACTTAATTATAACCATCACTGTTACTATTACTTATTATTATTCCTTACATACAATAGTTCTAAAACTTGTTGTAAAACAATTACGTAATACATTGTGTCACGATTAAAAATAACAAAAAAAGATTCTAGTTAGTTTTATTACCTCTACAACAACTTATGCTTCAAATAAATTAACAACAAATTAAGATTAATACATATGCAGGACGGCCAAGAAAACACCAATTACGCTAACCCACGTAACTTTTGTTACAGATCCGGTGTTACACATATCCGAATCACAGACATGACAATCAAAACCATTTGGGCAAGCCACATTACCACTACCATCGGGGACAACACATTTTCTGATAGCTTTAGTCTCATCGGAAGTTCCTTCAAAACAAGTCAATGGATTTAAAAATGAAAAAAGGACAGCAACATACCTTTCCTGATTTGCTTCAGACATTTTGAAGCGTTAGTCTTTCCGCATTTAATCGAATCGGCTTTGCCTACTTCGCATTCGGAGGTCACAGGATTACACTGGTAGCATTCTAATGTGTCGTCGGCAACTGGAAATAGCAAAAGGAAAAATAGAGATGATTAAGAAAAATTCAATCTATTTTCGGAACAACCGGAACAGAACGGGCACTATTATTAGCAACACCTATTGTTAATAAAAACGACAGAAAGTTTACTCACAGGTTTCACAAATTGCCAAACAGAGGACAGCCAAAACGAGAATTGCTTTCATTTTTGAAATACCTAATACAACACTGTCGGTGATGGTAAGTATGGATTGTTTATGTGGCGGCGCGGAACTGAAGTGTGTAACCTACTTCGTAGACTAGGTGGTAGGGAGCTTAAGTCTTAAGACGTCATGTGGCATGTGACCATATGGTCCACTTAGTGTTTTGGTTTGTTGAATGAATTTACACCACTAAATTTTATTAGATGTATTATTGCAGAGCGGCATTAAAGACAATCGTTTAAAGACGGTGGCATCTGTTGGCAGCTCTTGCGTGCGTAGTAGAAGCGAATGAAATTTTAAGGCCGGCTCTGTACTTTTAGGTGGTGTCATCCGTGTATTTTTAGAACGATGTTTTGATGTAAATTGTTTTTGTTTACATAATACAACTGAATGTGAGTAATGTAATGGTTGTGGAGGCAACCAATATTACACGTCTGCACCACGGAGCGTCTTCATCATATTTAAAACAAAATTTTATATGGATATTTTCTTTTAAAAGCTCGCTATTGAAAACTAGACTTGTGCAACATTATTGTTAATTTGTCGCTTTCTTTTAATTCATTTCATATTTTCTCGACGTTTTTCTGCTCCTAGGATTTGCAAAGGTACTTCTCCCGTTTCACTTTGTCTATTGGCGGTTTTCTTAAGCAATAATCTTCTAACTACTGGCTAGATTACTCTGAAATTCTAGCTGTACCACTGTAGGATTATTATATAAATCCAACTTATTGTTTCCTTACGTACCTATGTAGATTTAATAAAAAATCTAAACTTTAGAAAGGTAAATAAACAACGTGTATTGTATTGTTTAAAACTGATGTAGGTATTAATAGAACCATCTTTCATAATTTATTATAACACCACTTTTTTAATTAAACGTTGTTTGGCAAAATAATAATTATATAACTGGCGTTACAATTTGAAAATTAAGAAAAGGTCAGGCAAGGTTTCGAGTTATTAGATTTTATTATGGTATGATAATTGTGTTCTGTTATTATGAATTTTGTTTACTTCAAGTGTTAAAAAGATAGGTACCTATCTGCTATTCTTAAAATGTTTAAAACAAAGTCTTAAAACTTCAAAATAAAAGCAGACATATCAGTAAATGTTATTATTCCGTGAATGATTGTTATTTACATAGTCTGACCGGGCCAAAGTGATAAACTTGAAGTTCCTCATGCATAGACAGCGTATTTATTTCCATGGAATTTTTTATTACAGAACCGGACACTATACGTCATTGCTGAGATAGTTACATACTAACTAGGAGTATTTATTTACTGAAAAATTATTTAGCTCTTAAAGAAGACAGGTGAAACTGTTAACGTTGTGATAACCCAAACATCCCGCCTCAAACTGATATGTGAAAAAAATTTGAAAAACCCGCGAAAGTTTCAAAAATTCAAAAATTTGGCCTTGGTTGTGATCGTCCAACAAAATGGAACCCTAAATTGTGTTTGTTTTTTTTTGTGGCGAAGCTATTGAGACAAGTCGCGAGCGTCACGTCATCCCGACCGCTCCCCTGACTTATATTTAAGATCCGCCTCTTTTGTGAAGATGGCGCGATAAATCCCTCTAGCTCGACTAGGAACCGCGTCCTCCGCTTCTGTGACTTGTTTCTGTATTATTTACCCCAAGTCCATTTAAAGAGGACCCGGGTGGGTTAGTTAGCTCCATGATTGCCCGCCACACTTGCCTCTGGGCGTTGTCTTTGTCTTGTCTCCTGTAATTGAGCCTCTGGTCTGTTGGAGACATAATGGAATAAAATTAAAAAAAATAAAATAAAAAATAAATGTTCACTTTCTATAACTGTGACATTAAACTACAATCGAACAACTATCAAAGTTTCAAAAGTGCAATATACAACATTTAAATTCGCCATACACTCTCGTGAAATTTTTAACAGCACAGAATTCTCATCTGAGATTAAAATTGGACATCAGACAATTTATGTGACGGAAATATTAATCAACAAAATATTTACGTGGTCAGAAAACTAGTAAAGATTTATCAAAACAAACAAAAAAGATCTTACGTTCAATTTAAAGTATAGAGCAAAGAAAATTACTGAGGCTAAAATTGCGAGACAGAGAAAAATTGTAAAGCTAACAAACTTACATGAGGTTAATAGTTGCCACACTTTATCCATGACTTAAACACAGAACTTACATGATGTTAAATTTTGCCATACTTTATCAACGATTCAAACAAAGAATTTACATGGTGTGAAATTATGCCATACTTTTTTCACGTTAGTATTAAATTGTAACACATTTTTTGTTCTTTACTTTAGATTGATGATAGTCTAAATAGACTACTAGAAAATGGAATAATTGGACCTGCAACAAACTATTAAACCTGTAAGAAATTATTAAAGCCCTCGCGTTTTTTTAGAATCCAGGAGGGTATGAATTTAACCGTAAACTTTCAAGGTCCTTTTCAAAATGGATCAACGATTAAGTTAGTTTTAAATACCATGTTGTGTGGTGTGGTATTAATTGATGGATTTTGATCGTATTAAATATGTCTTTATTTTTTTGTTGGTGTGTAACGTGGGGGTTCGGTTCACAGGATACTCTGTAAATGCGATTTGATATAATTAATAACTTGAAATAATACATGATTTAACATCATGTAAATTTTTTGTTGTTTAAAGTTGTTAATAGAATGTGCCATAGTTTAATATCATTCAAATTCCTTCTTAACTGGAATTCTTGAGTGTGGCGTAATTAATTTTAGTAATTTGAATACTCATTTCCCCACCGTTATTAATTTGAGAGAGATAGAATTTGAACTTAATTGAAATAAAGGGACAAAAGTTGGCGTGGCGAAAGCGAAACACACGATCTCTAGTTGTCTGCGGTTTTATGGTTGTCCCAATAGATGTTGAAATTGAGACTTCATGAGGAAAAAAACTTGTAAAACATGTTTTCCTGAATTCATTCATGCATCATGCTTTAATCATAATGTTACGAAATAGGCCCGGTACGACGCCTGTGGGTTTTCTAGTATCTGCGGCGATGATGGGTGACTCATCGTCGGCGACGGCGACCGGATGGCGTTCGCTTAAAAGCCTGGAAGGGGAAGTCACGACCGTTGCTCCAGAACAAGCCTAGACGCGGTTGAGTAGTTGACTAGCTTATATCTGGTCTGTAAAGTACAAAAATATACTATTTTATATAATTGAAATGGGATTCGTTATTGCAGTATGAGTATAAAAAGCAGACGATAGAAAACGGCCAACAGACGTCAGACGACAGAGAGACGAACAGACAGAATCGGGAAATCTATTTTTTCATACTCTAGGGGTCCTAAAATGTCGAGAAAACATGAAAATATCTATTTGCCCGATAAACCCCAGTATAATACTTCCTTAGTTTACACTTGGGAAGTAAATAATAAAACTGAACAGAAATTTTATACATGTTAATCAAACGCAAAAACAGTATAAAACAAAAAGAAGAGTAAGTATAATCTGTATTTTAAAATTCATCTTGACCGGCGGTTGTGAGAAACACGGATGTCTTCTTGTTTGCACTGTCTTGACGACGTCATCACAAAATTTTATTATATAAAAACTCACTCGAAACACACGTACAGCATGCTTCTTTACGTGTACTTTAACAGTTCCTACTTTAATTATTTTAAAGAGTAAAATTTGCAAAATCAAATTTTACAATTATTTGAAGAAGCTGATTTTGTTGCATTGTACTTCAGGAACTAGGTAAGTTCTGTTTAATATCTTTTACCAATTTTTACTTTAATGATTCCTGGAATATTATAATTTTTAAATCGACGTAGTCTTCCTAGGGGTGTTACACATCCACACGTCGTAAACGGTTCCTGCCAGTAATTTTGCCACTTTTCCAACTTAGGGGATAATTTTTTGTTCATTTTAGCTAAGAAAATTCTTCAAAACGAAGTCAATTCAATAAAAAATAAAATTAATAAACCGTTACTAAATGATACAGCAAATTTACAGTGACAAAATACATATAAATATACCTACCTATACAAGTTTCGACAGGTAGGGATCGATTACTAGGTACTAAACCGCGAGATTAAACCAAATAACTTTTTTTTTCTTGAATCTATGTGCATGTGCTTAGCATAATTTCGGAAATAATTAAGCTGTCGTTTTTGTCCCCGGTCTCCCTATATTTAATTCGAGGTTAATAAGTTGAGGTTAAGTATGCTGAAATATTTTATAATTAGTGAGTTATTTTAATTGTATTTTAACCCAACAACCTCTAAACTATCCTCTGAGATCCGTCTTTTTTAAGGTGTTAAAAATGTTTAAATGTAAAAAAGGAGCCTTCTACATCGCAATTTGTCACCGGGATATATTTAATTAAAATACGGCTGCAAGGTACTGTATGTAACACTGGTACCAGAGCCCATTCCTTCACAAAATTGATATAAAACGTCTAAATCAGGGCTTTTATTGAACACACGAGTCTACCCTTGTTGCTAAACAATTTCCAAATTCTCCTGGAAAACTTTTCAATACACTAACCGTAGTTTTCATTGTTCCTAAAGCCTTGTACAACTTAAGAGTTTCACTTTCTGACTAAACAATCATTGTTGGTAAACGTTCAAAATTTTCATGGATAAAATTCACTGTGAATGTTAGGTTTTAGCAAACCTTCGATAAAGTTTTTGTGAAAACATTGCAACACAGTCGACACTCTCTAGACACTAGGTACTAAATCAAAGGAAATAATACGTCACTGACTACAATTTAATTTCTAAAACTGGCAGTAAGAATTATGTACAAATAGTAAACAAACCATTATAAAAACAAACATAACAAAACAAACAAAAATGAAATATGGCGAATTATTATTGAAAAATACGCACAACAGTGGAATAATAAAACTTAATTGAACCACGACAACGTTCTTAAAATTATTTCTAAAGCTACAGTATTGACTAGCACTTTTGAGTACCCTTTTCGAATTTTCTTAACTTTCGACGTTAAATAAAAAATATAACTGACCCAATATCATTACGAATAAATAACTACAAATATTGCAGAAACCACAGCTGGCCAAATACAGTTCGTAATCAACGGTGATGAGCTTGACAAAGATGTAGTAGTAACAATGGGGTTCGCATTGCACAAACTCTGATTGCAGTTGAAGCATTCATACTCATTTGGACATCCAACGTATCCGTCTCGATCTGCGATTACACATTTTCTGAGAGCTTTAGATTTATCTGGTGAATCTAAACAACAGAGACAATATTATGTAATATTATAATAATTAGGTACCATACGATAACTGACGAGAAGTGCTTGCTACTAACCTTTTCTCACTTGTCTGCTGCATCTAAATATCGACATTGAACCGCATTTTATAACGTCTGCTTTGTTGTCCTCACATTCCTGTGTAGCAGGATTGCATTGATAACAATGCAAAACTGATGAAGTAGTTTCTGGAACTCTAATCTGGTCTAGGGTTAAAGATTCTAATAGCACTGGACACAATATATATTTTTAAATAGCATTTTGATTAAATACTTTTCAAACATGTCGCAACAGGTCCCCACTTACCCATATTTATAACACATGTCGAGTAAATTAATACATAAATAAAACACTTATTCATTTTCTTATTACTTTTACAAACTGGTCAGCCCGCAGTGTTGTTTGCTTGTGACACAACTAAATATTTTATAAGCAAAGTGAATTTCACATACTGGAAGGAAGGTCGTCGTGTGAGTGATAATATGTATACTGTGTTGTAAACTTCGAATTCAATGTTTCGCTAAAACGTTTACACACCTTATTTAAGTATTAGAAAAATAGAAATCGTTAACAGTATTAAACGGGGTTGTGGGTTTGTTTCTGGAACTGATTGTGTTAATCATTATTATTAATAAATGGATTCAATGGAAATGTTTAACACTTTTTTCGTTCTTAGTTATTTTTACGCGTCAAAATGGTGTACTTTATGGAATGTCTTAATTTAAATTTCTAAATAGATAAAAAAAAAACTTGCTATATTAAGGTGTATTAAGTTGAGGACATGGTTATAAATTTGCTGGAATCTCGTACATTGAAAGACAATTCAATGTCCTCTCCTTAATAAAAAAAAATCCACATCAAGAGTATTTTTGGTAACAATTTATTTCATGCTGAAATTAAATATCTGATTCAAGAAGTAGTAATGTCGGGGTACCAATTTTAGCAACTTGAACGAGTTAATCTGCGCGTCACTTCGAGCGTTTACGTTTTTTTTTCTTTTATACACAAACACAAAATCTTTTGTTAAAACTTAAAAAATTGGTCGAAATTTATTTCGACGGGACTTCCCTCGCACCTAAAGTAATCTCGCTTCATCGGAAAATTATAAAATGTGATTTTGAGATTTTTATTTTGTCATAACCTGATCGTTTTCCGGGTTGGAACCGTGTTAACTGAGTTTTTGACCTCAACGTTTCGCACACTTTCGAAAGTGGCATCTTCAGGATCAGGGTTAAGAATAAGGCAAAATAGCACGGTAACTCAGTATGTCAACCATACCAGAGGCGAAACTCTTTAAAAAAAAAAGAGTTTCCATGATCTTATAGTATTAGGTATCTAATGGTATAGTATTGACAGAGGAAGAAAAGCAGCAAGAAGTGCAAGCGCTATATAAAAAAACTATCCTAAAATTTCTAAGAAAGTTAAAACCGTTCGAAAAACCCTGGAACGACTGATTGCAGATTTTATTTATATATTGCGAAACCCAGACCCTCGTCTGACATATACAGGTCGAATCAAACACGGTATTGTGGTGACCAGACTTCAATTAAAATGTCCCCTGAAAAAAAAAATAGTGGCGCGAAATTGCATTTGAATAATTTGAATTTGAAAAAAAATGCAATCAAGAAAAATCATTAAACATAGGCAACCATGTGGACATTTAGTTCTTTTCTGGTAGTTGGTAGCTCCTAAAGATTGTCTTGGTAGTGTCTAGTGAGGGGGTTGGTAGAAGATGGCCTGCTTGGGAGGGAGGTGAGATGCGTCACTTTTGGTTTGTTTGTTGTGGGATAAACGACGCGGTAAGAAAGCTAGGTTAAATTTAGTTGGTTTGGTAGTTAATAAAAAATCCTTTGTTTAACGAAAATTGATCGTAACGACGACGCCACAGCTAATTCTTACGGGTTTTTCCAAGCGGAAATACGCGAATTTTCGACCGACGCTAACACGTGGTGTAAATTTGTTTTATTGTTTGTAAATTCACAGTTCATGTTAGGATTTTAATCGTTAACTGGTTTTAACACATGTTTAACCGTCATAGATTGTTTAGATACAACACTTGCTAGGAGATTTCATGCAATTCACTTAGTCAGGACTCATTCTTTGTTTACCAAATTATGAATAAGGTTTCTGGATGCTTATATTCAAGTGTTACATTATAATACTTCTTAATTCCTCATACAAGATTGCTAATTGTTTATTTACGGCAGTTAAATCTGTAACCCGGTCTAGCCAGACCGGTGTGGGTCCCAACAATTTTAGTGTGAGAATAAACAAAATGATTGCTCTTACCTTTTTGATGGTGGCGTCGACACCAGGTCACATAATTCACTGTTGAAGTCGCGAACCGCAAAGAGGGGTTGTCAAAAAAAAGGAAGAAAACTACCTACGATTAATATCGCACACGTTAGGAAAATTATTAAAGCAAAACACAAAAACAAAGACAACCTTAACTATCTGAACACTTAAACTGAAGTTAAATTAAAAGCTGACAATTTAACACAGCCTACACAAAAACACAAGAATCAACCCGCAGGAGAAGTTCCCGACCGACCACTTCAGAACCGAAACAGTAACTAAATTTTTGGACAAAATTTTGAAGCCAAGTCGTACCTTCCTGATTAGAGGGGATACTTCTTAGCCAACCACCTTCTTTCGGGGGTGGTTTCGCGCCGGGGGCTTTTTCCCACAGCTTTGACCTAAAAAGCGAGCAAGGACTTTGAGCGGGTGGTCTGTCGGCAAATTCGTCCAATTCATAGAAATATCCTTCCCGTACAATCGGCTTACAACAACAAACGTAAGTTACAGAGGTACTCTGCGCCCATTGTAAACGGTGAGAATTTCCTATCTCGAACCCTAATAAAAATTACCCCACTTCGGAATTTGCTGGCCGATTTCTTCGGCCCATGCTCGAGGCGGCAATGCAAAACACGCCTCTACAAATCCGGAAGCGAGACAATCTGTCCGGCCGAAACTAAAGCTCTTTTCTCAAAAAAACCCTATTACTATTAACAATTATCAAATCTACAATCAAGGAAAAATCATCTATCTCTACGAATAAGTTCCGCGTCAAAGACTGACATATCTGGTGCTTAATGGCTTCGATCAAGAACGTTTCAATTTTACAACTCTAAACGATGGGTTTCCACGTTATTGCTAGGGCCCATTGTATAGAGTGCATCAAACCGAAAACGTGCTCGGTCTATGGGGATTTTTGGGAACTTGGGTACGGATGGATATTGCGGGGTAATTTCGGAATTTTGGGTAGTAAGATTGGACGGAGTAATAAACCATTATTCAACAGAAATGACATCTTCGTTTTCTGGAAAAGTTCCCATCAGAAAAATGCGTCGGTTGCCTCTAATAAACGCGATGGTTTGCAAGTGTTACAAATCAATCTAACGTTGCCCCACTCTGGGAAAATACCGTGAAAGTATGGTAGAATTCATAATATCGTGCACTGAGGTACGGGAGGATTAAAAATTTTTCCTCTTAAGCAGCTGCATCATATCATCACATAACCGAGACATTTTCTCTCAACGTGTAAAGTTATATCACCCAGACATTTTTTCTCGCAACGTTGAAAATTACATCACCAAGAAGTTTTTCTCGCATCGCCGGATGCATTTTGTGTTTATTATCATGTGTTTTGTTTGGCACAACCTGGGGACAGTTCACGATATAAACTCTCAAAACCTAATTGTTTTAAGTAACCAATCACTTGGATAATGGCAAAATTTAACATAATGTAAATTCTTTGTCTGAATCGTTGATAAAGTGTGGCATAATTTAACATCAGGTAAATTCTTTGTTCTAGCAGCGGCCATGTTAAAAGCGTATTTTCAAACCGAGCACATGTTTGGACTGTAAAGTCTCGTTGAACAAATTAACAACATTGTGGGTCATGTGGGACGTGCATGTAAGTCATTTGATTTAGACTATTATTTAGCGGTACTTTTCCAACCTTGGGGTTCACCACTTGTACCTGAACACATTCCGACACAAAAAAAGCAGACACAACGTAGGATCCATTTTGTTAGGCGATCACAGCCAAGGCCAAATTTTTAAATTTTGCGCGGGCTTTAAACTTTTTTTCACTTGTCAATTTAAGGCGGGATTTTTGGGTTATCACAGTATTTTAATCAAATTCATTAGAGGATGAAAGAAATACAGAAGTTAACTGAGTGTATATAAGTACTGCATCATTCGCTCCATTAAGATTTTTGTTGAAATTACTCTTAATGTAATTGCCTTAAGAAAAAAAAAACACTGGTAGCCTCCCAAGCTACTAACTAGCTTTAGGGACACCTCAAGAATTTGATTGTTACACAAAAAACACAAGCAGGAGGTAAACAGAAGGTTAAGGTGAAATTTAGGTCATCTTCATGGACCTGAGCAGAATGATCCAATCACTCTTCAGAATTCCGAAAACGCTTTCCCAATGGACAACCCCATTGAACCCTCATCGGTTTATCCTCCCTCCCTTCTACACCGAGCTAACCCAGAAAGTGGATCATCTTAAAAATGACCAAGCTCAGACGTGGATCTAAGCTAATAAGAAACCGTGCAAGTTACTAACACTGTTATTATCACATGAACTTGTAAAAGGAAATTACGACAAAATATGTATATCCTTTTAATATAAAGCAATGGAGAGCTGGATCGAGGAAGGTTAAAGCTTAATCGGGACAACCTTAAGCAGCTACACACCAGTAACGACGTTGCAGAATTACAACCAGTGTGTCTCTGCCACTCATCCTGTTGAGGGCCACTTGATATTACTAACCTCACTTTCTTTTGAGCAGCTAATAATGAATTCCATAAGATATCCGGACAAGGAACGTCTTCTATATCTTGGCCAATTAGTGTAGGCAGATCATTTCCTTTATACCTGGTTTTCGGAAACTTAACTCAAGTAGAGGGGGTGGTTTAGGAGATATTAATTGTTATTCTAAAAATGGTCGTTATCAATATTAATCTTCTTCTCACCACGAATACTATCAGGCCAACTACCCTAGCACAACCCAGGTCCACCTGGGTTTTTCAAGACGCAGCCCATTCTCGAGATCCGTGCCCTGGAACGATCCACACGGTTACGATAGGTCTCTTACATTCCTAGGATCGTGACACGTAATATCAGTTGACGATCATCTCTCATGCTGTATCAAGAAAAAAACCAACAATTCCAAATTTTTATAGCATTTAGTTTATACGAGGAAATAAGAACACTCATATTTTACCCTAAAAGTGTCGACTGTTGTGACACCTGTTACCGGTCTAACAATTTCTTGCTTGATTTAGCCCTCCGTGCTGTACGGAGAAAGTCCTCTCACCGAAATTCTACTCAAAGATGAAAATCCTATCTTGCTTCAGTATTTGTTCCTTGAGTTTAAATCCTTGGTAATTCATCTCTGTCCCTTTTGATTTACAGATAATAACATCCATGGAAGTGTAAGATAAGACTTACTTAAAGTAACAACAACATTTTTAGAATTATTTCTAAACCTTGCAGTATTTTACAGTTGATGACTGGTACTTTCTGGTCCATTTTTTGTTCTCGAGCGTAAACTAAAAAGTATTGCAGCGGGGTTCATCCAACGAATGGCTATTATTGTTTCATGAAACGACGTTTTATGACCTGTAGAATATGAAAATAGGTCTCCAGTTGCAATCTGTCTGCCGTCTATGGTCTGTGTCCATATTTATTAAACATATTAAACAGATACTTAATCTCCCAAACGACTAAAGCGATTGTTGTCAAATCTTATATACATTTTAGGAACATCGCGTTGATGTTAAAACGCCAACCAAAATTTGTCTAATCATCCCCATCAACAATGCGATGACGTCACATCAAAATTTTGCATTGTAAATGTTATGTAAATTTGATAAACTTGTACGTAAGCGGAGAAAAATGTTGCTTCTCTGGTGGGAATCGAACCGCACGTTTACTGCTTGCCGGGCGGGTGCCCTTACCACTAGACTACGGAGGAGCTTATCTTTCTACGCTTACTACTACGTATTATTGTGTCGTCACAAACTTATAAACTCCTACGCTTCTGGTGTATGAAGTCGTCTTCATTTCCCCGTATATAAGCGTGGTAAATTTATAACGTCATCCAAATTTTGCTATTACCTTTTTTCACTTGTCTGCTGTATACGATAGCAGGAGAATACTCCACAACGACCTCTTCTTTGTCCTCACATTCGGGTGTATTGATAACACTGTAGTTTTGTAGCTGCAATTTCTGCAAACAATATGTTTTACGAGTATTTTTAAACAGCATTTTAAATAAATATTTTTCAAATGTATGTGCAATCACATCGTAACAGATCCTTACTTACCCATGTTTGTAACACATGTTGAGTAAATTAATACATACATGAAATTATTCACTTTGTTATTACTTTTGCAGACTGGTCAGCATGCGGTGTTGTTTGCTTGTGACAACTATTTTATAAGCAAAATGATTTTCAAATATTGCAAGGAATATCATCATGTGTTGTAAACTCTATTCGCTGTTTCCCTAAAACGTTTACAAATCTCTTACAACTATTAGAAAAATTGCACTCGTTCTATTATTAGAATAGGTTGTGGTTTTATTTCTAAAATTGGTCGCTATAACAATTATTATTATTATCATCAGTAACGGGATATTGAATAGAAGTTCAAAACTTTTTTTTTCATTTTTAGTTACTTTTGCTCCTCAGAATTGTACTTTATTGAGTGTGTTGTGTATTAACTTAAAAAAAAAAAATGTTTTCTGTCAAATTTAAAAAAGCTAAGACAGATCCTGAAAAAATACAAAGAAATATGATAAAAGCACAATAACTAATTTTGATTATTTCGCGAAGGTAATTTTCAAAACATGAAAATGTTGGTAGTCGTTTCCGTCAGACTGGTGTGTGTAGTTCAATGTCAATTCAAAATTTTGCCCAGCAATTCTTGTTTGAAGTGTTGAAGGGTTGAATATTATGATGTAACATGCTTCTCAATTCGTAGTTTATTCTGTGCCCATATTTATTTTTTTAACTATATATTACCATAAATTATAGAAAAACAAAAATAATATTTTGAAATTTTGACCAGGCACTAACATTGATTGAATGGTTACATAAATAAAAATGATTTATTGATCTGTTACTGGAAGTGATCATATAAATTTAATAAATAAATAAATTTGTTAATAACTGTGTAATGTTGTTTATATTCGTACGTTTATATGTATAAGTAGATGTATATTTTAAAATTTTTTGTAGTGCTTAAAAAATATATTAATGAATCAGTTACATTGATTGATGTTATCTTACGATGGCGATGTTGTGTTCCTTCTGTCGACAGTGTCTACAGTGTGGTTTAAAATGAATAGGTATCTATATTTATTTCATTTTATCTATATTTTATCTCATTTTCTCCACCCCAGACCGATTCAACGTGTAGGATCTGCTTTAATGAGATTGATACAAAAATTAACAATATTCTAATAAAATATTTCATTATTTCTAAATGGTTAAAAACTGGAAACACATTTTTGAAAAGTTTAATGGCAAGAAACAACCAAAAAATTCATAGCTGGTTATTTTTGTAAAAAATTTGGAGCTTCAGTGTGATAGAGAAATAAACTTCAATAGTCTATTTATTATTTTTTTTAGTTAGCAAAATAAAGCTCATCTGAATTTTTCCAGTTTAGTTAAGCTGTGGTATTTTCATTCTACTTGAGGAAGTATTACCTACTAATTTTTCATACACACGTGCCGAATCGTTTGTTGTTAAAGAAATTAATTCAAAAGTTAAAAACAAACTGGACGTAACAGTTAAGTACATAATAAACATGTATGTAAAAACAGAGTCCCCTTTAAAAGGATTTTTTGATGTAGACAGCTTCGAAAATAGTTTCTCTATTAAAACACATAAACAAGCGACAAAATAATAGACATTGAAGAAAAATAACTTGTTTAGCTTTCAGTAAAATTGGTTTAAATTTATTTAGACGCAATTTCTTTCGCCCCTGAAATACATTCTTCTTCTAAAGAAATTTAATTTGGCCAATTTTATTTATTTTTTTATGGCAACCTCTGCAAGTTAAAATAAAGATGTGTGTTGACTCTTGAAGTCCAGGTAGAGCTTGTTACATCCAGGTACCAACAATGTTAAATATAAAACAAATAACCAACAGAAAAATGTATTATCAGTACATGCTTAACTTCGATTGTTTAGGAGACAAGTCAAATTATTAATTAAGCTACAATAGAACAAAAAGTTGTGAATATTATTTTGGGTAACTAGCTAATAGAAGCGGGTGCAACATTTGTGTATTCTCAAATTTTTGGGAAAACGTGGGGAATCGTTCTTTATTTGATCAATACAAAAAATTGTGACCAACCTTCGCGTTATTAATTCAACATTTTTACGACACGGTCACATGGGTTCAACCCACATCAGAGCTCTTATACTTGTATAAAATGTGATGATGCAGACTTTTTTGCGAAAATCTGGATGCATTCATAACCCCCAAATATAGGGGTAATGAGCCAGACGACAGACAGACAGACAGATAGACAGACAGACGGAAGCAGGAGACCTGTCTTTTCGTATTCTAGAGGTCACGAAACATCGAGAAAATATGAAAGTAACACATTTAATTTAACAATAAATTAATACAAGAATCCAATTATGTCTTTTATTATGACTTTATTTCAAACACTGTTTACAAAAGCGGATTACAATAAAGATGACGTTTATTCATTGTCGAAACGGCTGTTAGCAGCTGTGCACTGCTTCAAGTTGATTTTTGTTGATGATAAACTAAATTTTCACTAATGTAAACAGGAATCGAAAAATAAATATTTCTTTTATTTGATTTTATTTTTTATTTTATTTACATTATTTTTATTTTATTTTTATTTATGTTTATACATTTTGTCTTATAATCATCACATCAAATGCAAGACATTTTTTATGCGGAAAGATAAAAGAAAAGGCAAAAACAGTTGTATGAACACATAAAAATTAATTTTAGCTTTATTTTGAATAATGAAATGTTAGTCATATTATAACAATGATTACGATCTAATTAAGACTGTTATTTTAAAATTACGTTTTATGTCAAATCTTGGTTAATACGACTGAACGAAACTGAACTAATCAATAAAATTTTCGAACTGAAAGTTCAAATATTTCGCAGATGAAACAAGTATGCATTCATTTATGGTAAAGAAGAGCACAAGGTAAAAGTGTGGTTGTTGTGTTGTAGTGTTTCTCATCAAGTTAATAATACATTTATTACACACTTTCCGTAAATATTTTGAATCATTGATTCCATCATCGCTATACAAAATTTTGCGAATTTTGGACGACATAACAAATAACAAAACAAAAAGCAAATTTTGAATATTCAGTATTTTTGTTAAAATAATTTAATGCTAAAAAATAATTTTAAAATTTTTATAACGAACGCTAATCAGTATGTTTTTGGAACTGTTTTCGCAATTTGTCTTTATGACTATTTTATTATGTTTGGTGCGCTTGCTTATCAATAGTCTGTATAACTTACCTTCATTAAAAATTACGTAAAAAATAAATTACAAACGAAATATAAAACACAGTAAAAAATTAAGTCAAAACAACATAGAAACGAAAATTAACACTGCAGCGAATTTGAACCCTTTTATTCTGGACGTTGAATTGCACAGGTATCCTTCACATTCATGACACTTTCCATCTAAGGGTAAATAATACCCAGTTTGACCCAACTTGTTACCATTCACTGTCCTATCTTTAACTGTATCACATTTTCCCCGCGGAATGCACCCTTTTATATCCATAATGTTTCCAAGAGAATCTACACACAAAGAGGAACACAAGAATTAAATATAGTGCTCAAACAGATACTTACCTGTCCCAACTATTTTAAAACAGGCAACTGATTCTCTCTCGAAGTCGATTGTAAATGGCAATAGGCTCTTGCTCTGTTCGTTGCAATTTCGCGCTTTGTGGGTTTTATTTAACAAACCGTTTATTGAATCTGGTCCAATTTCTGTTACGTAACACGTCAAACTACTGACTGGAAAAAGTAATAAAGAAAGTAATTAGAAATTCGATGGAAGATATTTTTACCTCCTTTTAAGTAAACAAGTATCAAAACGAGGAAAACAACATGTTTCTCCATTTTCGCGGCTGTAAACCGCAGAGGTTTGCGCACAACTAAACTTAACGTCGAAGAATTTTCATCAACTTGCACTTTCGTACTCTATTTCGGTGATACTAATGTTTCTTGAAAATACAAGTTTTAAAATTAGGGTTAATTAATGTCATGCGGCTCCAGTAACAATGGATATTGATAGCTATAATGGGCAAGGCTGGGTGTTCAATTACATTTGATTGAAAGTTGAAGCGTGGCTTACCGTTGTAAATGTACAAATAAATATTCGAACCGGAAAAATGTGCAGTTTCATAATGTGAACAAATTGATGAACTCAAAGCTACTGCATTACACATTATTGACGTGGAGACTTTTATAGCGCGTTTTAAATATTAGTGAAGTCATGGTGTCTACAATTGTTATGTTCTGAGCTGTAAGTTGTATTAATATAAATGCCATTTCCGAATACATTTTCTCTAATAATAATAATAATCAATTACACTGTAACATTACAGGCGTTAAAAAAATATCGTAACATTGTAAAACTAAAATATAAAACATGTGTGATACCATAAGTCTTTTATTGCACCCAGTATCATTAACATCATATTAGGCGCCTTTTATTAAAATATGTTTCACTTTGTTGGCAAAATTTGACCGGGGCAATGAAATTATGGCCCTTGAAATTTTATTACAGAAGTCTTACGAATTTGATATACATATGTATATTGCCTTTCGTGCCTGTAATATAGGCGCGAAAATCACCTCTATAATTATATTTTTTTATATAATTATCCCTCATGAATAAAATGTATGTGTAAATGTATACAGAGGGGATGGTTAAAATTTTCTGATCAACAAAAATTTATTTTACGTCGTCTTTGAAACATAGTCCAAATATGGTTCTAACTGCTTGACGCTAAAAGGAGGAATTTCTTTTAGTATGCGAACTATGTCCCCATATTAAAATTGCGTACGTCGGGACGATTTGAAACAGGCTTTAGTAGGTAGTTGATGGCATATTAGTTTCGACTTCAATGCATACTTGTTTTAAAAGAGAGGTTGTTTTGTTCAATCTGTCGGACATGGCGTCGATTTGTTGTTCTCATGTTAGACTCGATTTTAAAGAATTTCATAACCTAAGGAAATTCGTCTTTATTATTATTAAAATTACGGGTGCAAAAAAGTAATTAAAAAACATTAATGTAAAATTAAAAACCAAGGAACCCAAAATCGATCCCTAGAGTACTCAGTTTTTCAAAATTTTCCTATCATTGCAATAAGTAAGCATACATCTGAACAAATAACGTTTTAGAGTATTATGAAGATAACCGAAATGCATATCTGAGAAAAGTTTGTTATGATGACTGTCGGAGTTCTCCAAGGCTCCGTGCTCTTACCTATCAAGTATTTGATTTACTGCAGCGATTTTCCTCTTTCAGGCACAACAAGGATCAAAATAAGGATGTTCCAGGACGACACTGCCTTCTGGACTTCTCACCGATCCCCGACCCGAACCATGTTCATAAACAACAGGTCTTCCACCACTTCGAACCTTGGTCCAACACCTGGACGATTTCCTCAAACAATAAAAAAATCGAATCATAGACACTCACTTCCATGCTAACGTTATCCTAAATAATTTCTAGCAGTTTTCGTGATAATGAACTTTTACTTTAACCAAAATATATCACGAACTTTATCTCTTTTGAAAAACTCCACATAATTATCCACTGTGCAGCTTTAGTTTGTATTCAAATCAATACGTGCAAAGACATAATAAGTTAAAACTAAACATATCTGCTTTGCTCCACATTGGCAAACAAGACTAAATTATAAAATTTTTAACATTAGAAAACAACTAGGTCAACTCACAATACTGTTACAGTTTATGGGCATTTAAAAATCGGCGTGGGTAAAACTCAACAATTTATTTCACAGTAATACATACACAATTTATTTGACTAGACTCTACTTCTCCCGTTGACTGGACTCCATTGGCTGTTCCCGGCGGTGATCCCTATTTAAACAACCACTGCTCTTTTCTAGATATTTCGGAATTGAGGTTCTCTGGAGTGCCCATTGCGATTTCCGCTTCGAGGCTCTTTTTTAGTCGAGCGCCATCGTCAGGGATGATGAGTCACCACCGCTCATCACTGTTTATACTAGAAAACATATAGGCGTCATACTGGGGCGGAATATGGGTTTACTTCGTAACAGTAAGGGAACTGAGAGAATCAGTGCAAAGGAGCATGTTCCGATTGGGAAGGGAAGAATTATATTGCAATGCCTAAAGAAAAATATATATTTCAACAGTGTATATGTTGCATTCAGAGTGTAAACGAAACTGAGTAGTGGTGGTGGTTGTGGCGGAATCGAATGCACAACCCGTGCCTTCAGTTTTTTTTAGAGTCGTCAGTGTAGATTGTGAGGGTGAGTGGCCAGGACAGTGTGGAAAGCTTCTTGAAAAAGTGAGATTGGAGTTGATTGCTTGGGATAGGCTAATAGTGATAAGTCTAGTTGGGGTGCAGTAATGTTCCATGGAATGAAGTTATTGATATAGGAAGGATATGGAATGCATTGATGGTATAAGCTGGGTGAAGGGGGCGGAAGAAAAAAGACTTGGGTAGAGTTGGACGAGAATATGTTTCTAGGTAGGGATTATGGTTCTAAAATAGAATAAATACTATAAATCACTTTTTCCTAAATCAAGGATTAGCGTCAAAACCCACAAATTCTGATTACTACCCCATTGAGGACCAATGCAATAAAAGCATTTTTATGTCACGGACAAACTCTATCGAAGTTTTCAATGTTATAAATAGTTTAGCTAACACAACATCTACTGGAGAAGACGAAATACCAGTTAAACTATTAAAATTTGTAGCTCAAGAAATAAGTGACTCTCTAACCGACATCATTGATAAAACAGTTATAGAAGCCACATTTCCAGATAAACTTAAAATAGCATACATACATAAAAAAGGTTCTAAATGCAATTTCGAAAATTATAGGCCGATAGCGCTGCTCTCAAATATTTCAAAGATTTTTGAGAAAATATACTACAAACGAATATCGGAATATTTTGAAAATAACAACTTTAAATGTACAAAATGGTTTTCGAAGTAACAAATCTACAACAAGAGACATCTATCAAGCCTTACCCAAAATTATAACATCTTTAAACAGTGGTAAGCAGACTACAATGATGTGTCTCGATCTGACAAAGGTCTTTGATACTGTCAATCATCAAATTCTGATTCAAAAACTTGAAATGTATGGAGTGAGAGGCATCTCTCTACAACTCATTAAATCGTATCTTAATGGAAGAACACAATGTGTAATAGATTACTATATGGGACAGAAAGTTAAATCTAACAAACTCCCCATTAGTAAAGGAATCCCACAAGGGTCTATTCTAGGGCCGCTCTTCTACTTAATACAAGGTGACTGCGAAATATATGCAAAAAAAAAAATGGGGAATAGCTCACAATATGATTATGTCACTGGAAAAAATCCACGGTCCTAAGTGGCTAGAAAAAATTATTTGAAATTAAATGTAAATTGTTATACGCGCCGCTGGTAATGTTTCGTGACCTACATAATTACTGCAATGAATGGGCAGGCGACTCGGATTAAGAACCAAAAAAGTAATTTTATCCGGTACTTTTTTAATCGCAACGTGAAAAACACGAAAAGGGCCAGTCATTATCGAGTGGTCATTGAAATCGGTGTATGGTCCAGTTTTCCAATGCAGAGTGTGTCGATATGGTAATTGGTGTGCGCGAACATCAGTGGTACAGCATCTCCGAGATCATGGTACCTTCAACCTCAAACTCACGATCGTGGTCGTGATGGGGCAGAAAGAAGGAATTTGATTTTCGCAGCTTGTAGTGCATCCTACATTAAAAGAACACGGTCACATCCATACCATGTTGACAAAATGCACGGTTTGGAGCCCGCTGATTCTCCACGTTGTGTAACTCATTTTTTGTCCGATGGAACTCCACATAGTCGTCAACAAGTACGATTTCATGAGACGGTTTTCGATAAATGTGTATCGGTTGGATGAAACAGTTCGTTTGTGGAAATCAACAGTGTCCAGAAATTATCGAAGAGTTTCAACAAGTGGAAGTGGCAGCCGCTACTCCGGTGTTTTTTTTACCTATCAACAAACTTCTTGCGACGCTCTCACGCCTGTATTGCTAGTCAAGGACAACATTTTCAACATTTCTTGTAAAAAGGTAGTAGCATTCTAAGTTGCTCTTATTTTTGTTCCAATAAACAATGTAAAATCGTTGTGACAAGGACCAAACAACCGTCAGAATCAAAATTACCAAAAAACTTTCACAGTGACCTTTAACGATGAATGAGTAAATGAATGAACGAATGATAAGCAGCAAAAAGTCGGTTTTACTTTTAATTGAAACTGAAAGTGTTTAGGTCGTTTTTATTCGAACGTTTTTCCAACTCTGTTTACAAGGTGGCTCAGTGCCTTCGTATCGAGGGTGGTTCATGGGGGTTTTGCCCCATTCGATTTTTAATTTGTTTTTTCTATATTTCGGCTCTACTAGGGTGGGGGATGCCGTGGTTAAAATATTTGCATATATTTCGCAGTCACCCTGTATATGCTAATGATCTTGTTCAATATAGTGAATCTTTTTCAGTGCAATTTGCTGATGACACTAATATTATTATTAGGGAAGCGTCTTGTGAAGACCTAAACAAATCGATTGAAAGAAATCTACAGAAACTACAACACTGATGTAGGTTAAATCATTTCCAGCTAAACGATGATAAGACTGTTATACTAAAATTCAATTATAAGTCGGATACAGATTGTGATATATCAACACAAAATCAAAGCGTACCACCAGCTAAGAATAAAACCAAATTTTTAGGATTGTGGATCGATACAAAGCTTAACTGGAGAGAACACATAAATATATTATCATCTGAAATATCAAAGTATTGCTTTGCTCTGAAAATGTTATCCAAATGAGCCTCACCAGAAGTTGCAATGATGGCGTATACTGGATATGTAGAATGTAGAATAAGATACGGAATAATATTTTGGGGAAACTCGGTAGATGTAAATACGATATTCATTATACAAAAAAGTTGTATTAGAAGCATTTTCAATCTTAAGAAAACGGATAGTTGTAAACCATATTTTCTTGAAAAAAGAATACTAACTTTAGCAAGCCTGTAGATATATGAATGTGTCATGTTTATTCTCACTCATAAGGATCTTTTTACAGAACATGAGCGCACTCATACTTATGATACACGCTTCAAAGATAACTTTGACTGTGAGATGATGAACTACACTTACCTCCAAAAA